CAATATCATTAATATATATAAGAAACAGTAATGGCCCCAATTTACTTCCCTGTGGTACGCCATTATCGTTTAAAATTTCTGGAGAAGTGATCTTGTTTATGTATGTGTTCTGTTTCCTATTCTGCAAATAGTTCTAAAACCACTTTAGAGCTACACCTTCTATACCATATTTTTGCAATTTTTGCACCAAGCTACACCTGTTGATAGTCTCAAATGCTCTTTTAAAATCAAGAAAAACCGCCCCAATCATAACATCACTATCCAGTTGGTTCTTCCAATCATATAAAATATTTTGTATGGCTGTTTCGCAACTATGATTTTGTCTGAAACCCGATTGGTTTGCATACAATATTTTCTTTTCTGAAATATATTCGATAAATTGATCATAAATAACTTTCTCAATAATTTTTTCAAAAGTCGCTAGCATATTTATTGGTCTCAGCTCACTGGCAGTTTTCACATCGCGGACTTTAGGTATTGGAATAACTGTTGAAATTTTTAAGGGTGATGGAATAGTGCCTGTTTCCAGTGAATAGTTGATTAAATTTAGCAGAGGGAATTCAATACTTGCGTATATCATTTTTATGAAGTCCGCTGATAGCTCGTCAGGACTACCTTTACATGGCAATTGAAAAACAATTTCCTTCAGTTGATCTGTAGTTATTGGCATAAACCGTGCTAAACCTCCTGGTGGTGTTTGTATTTGGTCAATACATTGAATTCCTCCATTTACGTCGATTTCAGACACAATCCCATGAATGCTATTAATATAATAGTCATTGAGATTATTACACAATAATTGGGGTTCGCTTATTATCTCATTGTTAATTTCAAGCTCTTTGATATTATGGTCTTTTTTGTTTTTAGATAATAGCGGTTTTAATGTTTTCCACATTTTTTTTGAATTATTTTTACAATTATCGATTTTATTTTCAAAGTGACTCTTTTTCTCTTCACGTATTACTTGTACAGCCCTATTCCTGTTTTTTCTATAAGTAGCTTTATTTTCGTTGTTTTTATTTTTTTTGTAATGTTTGTAACTTTCATCTCTAAATCGGACAACGTCGTACACTATTTCATTCCACCATTCTTTATATCTGGATTTTATAACTATTTCCCTCTTTGGGGAAACTTCATTCAATATTCGCACTATCGTTGAAAAAATCTGACTATACTTGTCATCTATATCCCAGAGCATATAATTCCACCTCTCCAGAGACAATCTTCTATTAATTTCATCGAAATCTAGCTTACCCCGAGAATCAACGCTCTTACTACATTCCTCACTGAAGGCCTTTTTATTATTTAAACTAAACTTTATTATATAATGATCAGATATTTTTGGGGTATCAGCTACCTGACTGCTGACATTGTAGCTATTACAAAATCCCAGGTCAATAATACTTCCCCCTGCATCACTTGGATGAGTGATTTGATTCACCAACTGATTAAACCCCAAATCCATCATACATATTTCTAACTGTCTCTTATAGGTATCCGCCCGCAACCAGTTAATATTGAAATCCCCAAGAATTAGTGTAGGGCAGGGCCGTGCATAGGGGGGTGCGGCCGGTACAAATTACCGGGGCCCGGGTTCCGTAGGGGCCCGGCCCGCCATCTCGAAAGAAAAGTTTTATGGTTGAAACTATTTTTTTTTTCAACTCACTTTCGCATATGTATACCCACAGTGTTCCGCAAAAGCTGGTCATGGTCCAACTTCCTTTATTCGAATGGAATACCCTATATTTTATTCAATATTCGGATTCTATGTAAAATTCTGAGCAGATTTCATGTGATATACCCCACATACCCTATCATCTGTTTTGGAAAATGGAAATATTGACATCAGTTGAAAATTAACTTTTTTCTATGAGTAATATGCGTAATATACAATATACAGCTATCAGAATTGTCAATTAATTTTGTTACGAAAATTAAATAAAAAATCGCATTAAGCTCGAGACACATCTATCATGCATTCTTCCGATCCGACTCCGATCATACAATCAGGGTCCTTATTCTTGGAACAGGAAGCAGCCTTCCCAGGAGAGCGGGTGTTCCGCTGCTCCCCTGTTCCAAGAATAAGGACCCTGATTGTATGATCGGAGTCGGATCGGAAGAATGTATGATAGATGTGTCCCGGCCTTAACTCGTGCCTATTTTCTATTAATCATAGAAAAAGTATATAGTATTCAACTCGTAGGCAATGGCTATTACTCACGAAGGATGAAGTTTGCACTACGAGCCGCAGGCAAGTAATGTAATTATCCGAGTAAGTGATTACACTACTCGCCTGCGGCTCGTAGTACAAACTTCATCATTATCGTGAGTAACAGCCATCATTACCCGCTCTTTGAATAATATGCTATTTTTGATTTGACAGGCTATAAAACCTACAGTGGCGTAAAACCTATAGACATTTAATTTAAGAGCAAACCCGTAAACCGTTACATTCATAAACCATCATTTAACAGCAACTCTAAATTTAACCGGAGATTAAATTTAATTAGAATTTTGAGTCATGTAGGGCCGATACTTTTGATCTTGATAACGAATTTGACACTTCATTGAATTTAACAAGGTTTTGCATGGGACAAGATCTGTAATCTGTATCATAATCTGTATGATGTGGTAAAGAGTACATTCAAACCCCTGATTAATTTTAACGTTTGTCAAATTTGAAAACTGAGAACAAAAGTACCGGCACGTAATGTATCTCTCTCAATCAAGCGACAAGAGTACTACGGTCGCTGCTGATGCGCGATTCATACTTTCCTTACGGTCCTCACGCGATCGGAATTTTTGTGAAGCACAGAGGTTTCACTTCAAAAATACCTAAAAAAATTATACCCGAGGCATTTTTTTTAACGGCTTTTGGGTAATAATTTGGGCATTCGTGAATCGTGACACTCAAAAAAGTTTGGGGCCCCCTTTAAGGGGGCCCGTTGGAATAGTTGTACTGGGGCCCGCGCGTGCTTAGCACGGCCCTGGTGTAGGGTACTTAAAGTCTGCATTCTCCAAGCACCAGTTTTCAAAGTTCTTTAAGAATTCTGCTGTACTTGCACTTGGTGAACGGTATATTCCGATAATAACATGCTGCCCTTTCTGTACCAATATAGAAGCATGTAGCAACCAATAATTTTTATCCAACACAAAACGCTTACATTCTAAAATTTTAATGTCATTCCTAATAAAAAATGTTACACCACCTGTATGCCGATTATGGCTGTCACACCTTACAATTTGAAATCCCTCAATAAAAATCTCCCTATCCTCGATGTCTTCCGTTATTCTACTTTCAGTTAAACATGCAACTAGTGGTTTTGAATCAAAGTTTTTCAAATCTATAAAAAAGTACTCGCATTACAACTATTCCCAATATTGCTTGTTAGTTTACAAATGACATTCCTAACATAATCCAGCACCTTAACTTTTGCTGAATAAAACATGTCCATTCCTCTTTTATGATACAAAAAAGAATCCGTGTTAATAATAGAATTCACATTGACAAATGTCGATGAACTGTTTAATTCATAAATTTGTATGTTAAAGTCAGTAATAATTTTATTCAGCACTCTTCTGTTCCTCCATAACGGAACCGACATGAATACAAGATTCGTTTTTCCATCTATATCCTTTAATATTTGCTTAGTGTCATCCCTCAATGATTTGCCCGTTAAACAATCTACTAACCCACCCATAACCACAACAATATCTTTTTTCGAGTAATTCCTAATGAGGGTAGTAACATTTTCCAAGATACTGTCTAACAATGCATTATGCTTAACAAAAGAACAAATCTTGTATTTATCCCCCAAAGATGTTGAAAGGATATTAGAAAATTTAGTTACATTACTATCACCTAAGATTAGGATCTTACTCTTGACGTCCCCTGTTGTTGTTGTTACATCACATGTCAACATACCATCATTGTCACTGCTGGGTTTCTTGTTAACTTGCATTAGTTGATTCCGTAGACTTTCAATTTCATTTTAACATAAAGTATTCTCCTCCTCCAGTGTCCTTATGGATGTAATCATGTTTGCATTTAACTCTTTCATCTGTTGCAGTTCATGTAATTGCTTTTCAGTTTCAGCTTCCAATTCTAACCTCAATGAACAGGTATTTACGTCGTTTTCATTAGTTTCGCATTTTTGCGTTTCGACCTCATTATTGAGAATTGCCATGGTTTGTGTGCCGACTGATTTGTCCCTGAGCAAGAACAGTTCGTAATTGGTTCTCTTCAGTTCCGAAATATAAGCCTCGTTATCTTTGGTAAGAGTTTCGATGCTTATTAGCATTTGATTTTTCAGCTCATTCAGTTCCACTAATTCAGAGCTCATCCTGCTGCTCCGATTATTAAGATCTTCAATCTGAGATACGAGTTTCTTATTTTTCCCTTGTAAATTAACAATTTCACTATTTAAACTAATTAATTTTTCTTTCTGCTCTTTGAATTTTGTCTCATATTCGTTCTGGTAAATGAGAGCTTCTTCATCAACATTACCGGTTCTTTTGATTAACCTTGCAATATGACGATCTTTCGCCAAGCCTTCAAGTGAAAGTTTGTTTAGATGCTCCTTAAGGCTCTCAACTTCCCTTTTGTGGGTATATGTCAGCTCTTCAAACCGTTCATCCTTCTCAGCTATTTCCATCTTTGCCCCGTCAAGAAGTCCAGTTATCCGTATCAGGTCAGTCATGTCCTCATTTCTGGTTTTACATTCTGCTTATGCTGGAAATTAATTTAGTATTCCACCATCACCATTTAGCCTATAGAATAACGTCGAACAGTTTTTTTACTGATTTTCATACATAGTATACTACCCCATTAGGACACAAAATCTCAAGAAAAAAAAAATTGAAATTTTATCGTTTTAGTAAGAAGGTACCTACCTTATGATTTAGATTTTAGAAAACTTTGAAATGTCATAACTTTTTTTCAACTCATTTGGACTTATAGTTCCTGAAATAATTTAAAAGTTTGAAACTCATTTTTTCAGGTATCGAAGATAGACTCCAAGAAGGTGTCCCAGAAACACTATCCGCTCTAATCTCGGCCGGTATAGTAGTTTGGGTACTGACAGGCGACAAACCCGAAACCGCCATCAACATCGCCTACTCGGCCAAATTGTTTTCGCCTCAGATGGAGCTTTTGAAACTAATGGCGCGTTCCAAAGAAAGTGCCGAAAGCACCATACACTGCTACCTCAACGATATCGAAAGACAAAACACTGAAAATTTTGGTGCTGATATTTCTGATATCATGCCGAGTTCGAGTACTTCAACGAGAACTCACGCTGGAAGGGCTTTGGTTGTAGATGGCAAAACTTTAACGTATATTTTAGATAGACGATCGAATTTGACTAAGCCGTTTCTTAAGCTGACTACACACTGTAATTCAGTGCTATGCTGTAGAGCTACGCCTCTACAAAAAGCTTATATAGTTAGAGTAGTTAAAGAGGAATTGAAAATGAGGACGTTGGCAATTGGAGATGGGGCTAATGATGTTTCAATGATACAAACAGCTGATGTGGGCATTGGGATATCTGGGCAAGAAGGAATGCAAGCAGTAATGGCTGCAGACTTTGCTTTGTCCAGGTTTAAGTATTTGGAAAGGTTTTTATTGGTGCACGGACATTGGAGCTATGATAGGCTTGCCAGGATGGTTTTGTACTTTTTTTATAAAAATGCTGTAAGTATTTAGTAATTTAAAACACCTAATATAATAGTGATTTTTTTTTTATTTATTTTTTTAGACTTTTGTATTTTTGATATTTTGGTACCAATTCTATTGTGGGTTTTCCGGTTCTGTGATGATCGATCAGATGTATCTAATGCTTTACAATTTGTTATTTACCTCGCTTCCTCCTATTGTTATTGGTGTATATGATCAAGATGCTCCTTATAAATTATTGCGTGAAAATCCTTATTTGTATAAAACAGGACGATTGGGAAAAGTGTATAAATCTTACTCGTTTTGGTTAACTATGGCGGACGCTTTGTATCAAAGCGTCGTAGTGTTTTGGATATGCAAATGTGCCTACGAAGGAACTGACGCTGACATTTTCGAATTTGGCACTGCGACTACTACCGCTTGTATGTACGTCATGTTATTGCATGTTTCAATCGAGATTAGATCTTGGGTAAGTTGAGGTAATTTCATTATAGTTGAGTTGATAATTATTGTTTCTAGACAATCATCCACGTTATTTCAATAATATGTTCGATTGGTGCATTTTTTCTTTATTCTCTGACTTACAATTCCTTGTGTGTCAATTGTTTCGGACTGCCAAGCACCTATTGGACAATACAGATCTCTATGCAAAGGCCCGCTTATTGGTTGGTGCCAATGTTATCGTGTATTGTAGCTCTACTGCCAAGGTAAATAATAATTTATTATTATATATTGTAATATACTGGGTTATTTTTTCTAGGATATTGTATAGGACATTTCAAACGATGTTCGCCCCTGACGATGTCACCAAGGCGATATTGGCCGAAAAAAGGGCGCGTAGAAGAGGTGAGAAGTTTTCGGTGTCTTGGTCTAGATCAACGTCCACCTCGTCTATATACAGGTATTCGGTAGGCTTTGCGTGCTTTTAATGAAATTTCCTTTTATTTTCACGTATTGCCTCATTGCCTGTTTCACATACACAACTTAAAGATTTGGTGTTAGTTTTTTGTGTGTCTTTTGAAGATTTTTGTGGGGGTGGCAAACTGCTAAGCTACCAGTGGAGTAAGGAGGATGGAGAAAATTTCAGAATAGCTCTATCCAATTTTCTATGAGGTGAATTAGAGGTTTTCCATTCCCATGAAAACTATCATTTTAGAAGTTACTCCTTGTGCAAATTATGCAATAGAATCTGCATTTCCTTATTTAAGCTGTAAATGGCCTGTAATTCACAATATTCCTAGATTTATAGTTTTTGACCAAATCGAGTTTGAAATTTTTTATAAAATTTGGGTTAAAAATCAAATTTGAGGCTCAATCGCTCAAAAACTATTCGAGGTATCACACTCAATTTTACACAGATTTATAGAGAATTTAATGCTCTTTCCAATGGTATATAATTTATTTGAATTTGCTCAAAATTAAACAAAGATATGGGCAATTGCTCATGACCATGACAATGCCAAAAATAAGATTTCCTTTATAATTTTGTTTCTGCTTAAAATGGCAATTTGGAATTGATGTCAGGGTTGTTTTCCACTAATTTTGACCCGCTCTATCAATTGGTAGAGTTAAAATTGAGCAAAACTGAAAAATAAAAAAATTGAGTTTTTCATAAGGGTGTAACCCCCTTTGAAATCCAATTTCAAAATATTCAAACTTCGATTTTTTGGTAACCGTTGAGCAAATTGCATTGAAATTTTCTGCATTTGTAGCTCCTATTAGGCTCTAAATGGTCTGTAACTTACAATATTCCTAGGTTTATAGTTTTTGAGCAAATTGACTTTGAAGTTTTTAGTAATATTTCGACTAAATATCAAGTTTGAGGCTCAATAACTCAAAAACTATTTGAGCTATTAAACTCAATTTTTCACGGATTTATAGAGAATTTAATGCTCTTTCCAATGGTATATAATTTATTTTAATTTGCTCTAAATTAAACAAAGATATGGGCAATTGCTCATGACCATGACAATGCCAATAATAAGATTTCCTTTATAATTTTGTTTCTGCTTAAAATGGCAATTTGGAATTGATGTCAGAGTTGTTTTCCACTAATTTTGACCCGTTCTATCAATTGGTATAGTTAAAATTGAGCAAAACTGAAAAATAAAAAAATCGAGTTTTTCATAAGGGTGTATTCCCCTTTGAAATCTAATTCCAAAATATTCAAACTTCAATTTTTTGGTAAACGTTTGAGCAAATTGCATTGAAATTTTCTGCATTTGTAGCTCCTATTAGGCTCTAAATGTTCTGTAACTTACAATATTCCTAGTTTTATAATTTTTGAGCAAATTGACTTTGAAGTTTTTGGTAATATTTGCACTAAATATCAAGTTTGAGGCTCAATGACTCAAAAACTATTTGAGCTATTAAACTCAATTTTTCACGGATTTATAGAGAATTTAATGCTCTTTCCAATGGTATATAATTTATTGCAATTTGCTCAAAATTTAACAAAGATATGGGCAATTGCTCATGAGCATGTCAAGATTTTGCAAATTTGCCAGAGCCAAAAATAAGATTTCCCTCATACTTTTGTTTCTGTTTCAGGCTTGTTTTCCACTAATTTTAACTCACTCTTTCGATTGGTAGAGTCAAAATTGAGCAAAACTGAAAAATAAAAAAATCGAGTTTTTCATAAGGGTGTATCCCCCTTTGAAATCTAATTCCAAAATATTCAAACTTCGATTTTTTGGTAACCGTTGAGCAAATTGCATTGAAATTTTCTGCATTTGTATGGTCTGTAACTTACAATATTCTTAGGTTTATAGTTTTTGAGCAAATTGACTTTGAAATTTTTAGTAATATTTGGAGTAAAAATCAACTTTGAGGCTCAATTATTCAAAAACTATTTGAGCTATTAAACTCAATTTTTCACGGATTTATAGAGAATTTAATGCTCTTTCCAATGGTATATAATTTATTTTAATTTGCTCTAAATTAAACAAAGATATGGGCAATTGCTCATGACCATGACAATGCCAAAAATAAGATTTCCTTTATAATTTTGTTTCTGCTTAAAATGGCAATTTGGAATTGATGTCAGAGTTGTTTTCCACTAATTTTGACCCGCTCTATCAATTGGTAGAGTTAAAATTGAGCAAAACTGAAAAATAAAAAAATTGAGTTTTTCATTTACTCTTTGAAATTTGATTCTAAAATATTTAAAGTTCGATTTTTTGGTAACTGTTGAGCAAATTGCATTGAATTTTTTTGCATTTGTAGCTCCTATTAGGCTCTAAATGTTATGTAACTTAAAATATTCCTAGGTTTATAATTTTTGAGCAAATTGACTTTGAAGTTTTTAGTAATATTTCGACTAAATATCAAGTTTGAGGCGCAATAACTCAAAAACTATTTGAGCTATTAAACTCAATTTTTCACGGATTTATAGAAAATTTAATGCTCTTTCCAATGGTATATTATTTATTGCAATTTGCTCAAAATTTTACAAAAATATGGGGAATTGCTCATGAGTATGTCAAGATTTTGCAAATTTTCCAGAGCCAAAAATAAGATTTCCCTCATACTTTTGTTTCTGTTTCAGGCTTGTTTTCCACTAATTTTAACTCACTCTTTCGATTGGTAGAGTCAAAATTGAGCAAAACTGAAAAATAAAAAAATCGAGTTTTTCATAAGGGTGTAACCCCCTTTGAAATCCAATTTCAAAATATTCAAACTTCGATTTTTTGGTAAACGTTTGAGCAAATTGCATTGAAATTTTCTGCATTTGTAGCTCTTATCAGGCTCTAAATGGCCTGTAACTTACAATATTCCTAGGTTTATATTTTTTGAGCAAATTGACTTTGAAGTTTTTGGTAATATTTGCACTAAATATCAAGTTTGAGGCTCAATGACTCAAAAACTATTTGAGCTATTAAACTCAATTTTTCACGGATTTATAGAGAATTTAATGCTCTTTCCAATGGTATATAATTTATTGCAATTTGCTCAAAATTTAACAAAGATATGGGCAATTGCTCATGAGCATGTCAAGATTTTGCAAATTTGCCAGAGCCAAAAATAAGATTTCCCTCATATTTTTGTTTCTGTTTCAGGTTTATTTTCCACTAATTTTAACTCACTGTTTCGATTGGTAGAGTCAAAATTGAGCAAAACTGAAAAATAAAAAAATCGAGTTTTTCATAAGGGTGTAACCCCTTTTGAAATCCAATTTCAAAATATTCAAACTTCGATTTTTTGGTAACCATTGAGCAAATTGCATTGAAATTTTCTGCATTTGTATGGTCTGTAACTTACAATATTCTTATGTTTATAGTTTTTGAGCAAATTGACTTTGAAATTTTTAGTAATATTTGGACTAAAGATCAACTTTGAGGCTCAATTATTCAAAAACTATTTGAGCTATTAAACTCAATTTTTCACGGATTTATAGAGAATTTAATGCTCTTTCCAATGGTATATAATTTATTGCAATTTGCTCAAAATTTAATAAAGATATGGGCAATTGCTCATGACCATGACAATGCCAAAAATAAGATTTCCTTTATAATTTTGTTTCTGCTTAAAATGGCAATTTGAAATTGATGTCAGGGTTGTTTTCCACTAATTTTGACCCGCTCTATCAATTGGTAGAGTTAATATTGAGCAAAACTGAAAAAAAAAAAATTGAGTTTTTCATTGAAATCTAATTCTAAAATATTTAAACTTCGATTTTTTGGTAATCGTTGAGCAAATTGCATTGAAATTTTCTGCATTTGTAGCTCTTATCAGGCTCTAAATGTTCTGTAACTTACAATATTCCTAGGTTTATAATTTTTGAGCAAATTGACTTTGAAGTTTTTAGTAATATTTGGACTAAATATCAAGTTTGAGGCGCAATAACTCAAAAACTATTTGAGCTATTAAACTCAATTTTTCACGGATTTATAGAAAATTTAATGCTCTTTCCAATGGTATATTATTTATTGCAATTTGCTCAAAATTTTACAAAAATATGGGGAATTGCTCATGAGTATGTCAAGATTTTGCAAATTTTCCAGAGCCAAAAATAAGATTTCCCTCATACTTTTGTTTCTGTTTCAGGGTTGTTTTTCACTAATTTTAACTCACCCTTTCGATCGGTAGAGTCAAAATTGAGCAAAACTGAAAAATAAAAAAATCGAGTTTTTCATAAGGGTGTAACCCCCTTTGAAATCCAATTTCAAAATATTCAAACTTCGATTTTTTGGTAACCATTGAGCAAATTGCATTGAAATTTTCTGCATTTGTATGGTCTGTAACTTACAATATTCTTAGGTTTATAGTTTTTGAGCAAATTGACTTTGAAATTTTTAGTAATATTTGGACTAAAGATCAACTTTGAGGCTCAATTATTCAAAAACTATTTGAGCTATTAAACTCAATTTTTCACGGATTTATAGAGAATTTAATGCTCTTTCCAATGGTATATAATTTATTGCAATTTGCTCAAAATTTAATAAAGATATGGGCAATTGCTCATGACCATGACAATGCCAAAAATAAGATTTCCTTTATAATTTTGTTTCTGCTTAAAATGGCAATTTGAAATTGATGTCAGGGTTGTTTTCCACTAATTTTGACCCGCTCTATCAATTGGTAGAGTTAAAATTGAGCAAAACTGAAAAATAAAAAAATCGAGTTTTTCATAAGGGTGTATCCCCCTTTGAAATCTAATTCCAAAATATTCAAACTTCGATTTTTTGGTAACCGTTGAGCAAATTGCATTGAAATTTTCTGCATTTGTAGCTCTTATCAGGCTCTAAATGGCCTGTAATTCACAATATTCCTAGATTTATAGTTTTTGACCAAATCGAGTTTGAAATGTTTTATAAAATTTGGGTTAAAAATCAAATTTGAGGCTCAATCGCTCAAAAACTATTCGAGGTATCACACTCAATTTTACACAGATTTATAGAGAATTTAATGCTCTTTCCAATGGTATATAATTTATTTTAATTTGCTCAAAATTAAACAAAGATATGGGCAATTGCTCATGACCATGACAATGCCAAAAATAAGATTTCCTTTATAATTTTGTTTCTGCTTAAAATGGCAATTTGGAATTAATGTCAGAGTTGTTTTCCACTAATTTTGACCCGCTCTATCAATTGGTAGAGTTAAAATTGAGCAAAACTGAAAAATAAAAAAATCGAGTTTTTCATAAGGGTGTATCCCCCTTTGAAATCTAATTCCAAAATATTCAAACTTCGATTTTTTGGTAACCGTTGAGCAAATTGCATTGAAATTTTCTGCATTTGTAGCTCCTATTAGGCTCTAAATGTTCTGTAACTTACAATATTCCTAGGTTTATAATTTTTGAGCAAATTGACTTTGAAGTTTTTAGTAATATTTGGACTAAATATCAAGTTTGAGGCTCAATAACTCAAAAACTATTTGAGCTATTAAACTCAATTTTTCACGGATTTATAGAAAATTTAATGATCTTTCCAATGTTATATAATTTATTGCAATTTGCTCAAAATTTAACAAAGATATGGGCAATTGCTCATGAGTATGTCAAGATTTTGCAAATTTGCCAGAGCCAAAAATAAGATTTCCCTCATACTTTTGTTTCTGTTTCAGGGTTGTTTTTCACTAATTTTAACTCACCCTTTCGATCGGTAAAGTCAACATTGAGCAAAACTGAAAAAGTGTACCCCCTTTGAATTCTAATATTCAAACCTTGATTTCTCGGTAACCGTTGAGCAAATTGCATTGAAATTTTCAGCATTTGTAGTTCTAGTGAGCTTTCTTACACTAATGCACTCAACCTTGATACACCTGCAATATGAACCCTCCTCTTACAAAAAATGTTCATTACATGATTTTTTTTTTTGTATACAGTTTTTGAATGTTTCCCTTTTTGTTTTCAGAAGAACCAGTAACAGGGCTCAGCATAACCCTTTAGCGGCAGTAGGCTGAAGGGCCAAAACTCAATTTTTTAAGCTTAAGACTCAGTGATCCTGCATTTATAGGCTGTGATGCGTATATTTAAGGGACCAACAATTATTTTAATTTTAAAAGGATCTTGTTTTTTTAATTTGTTTGACAATACATCCCTCTAGTGCCATTTTAAGGAAATCTTGTTTGGTGTGTTCAAAGTTTACGTATGTAATGTGCTAATTTATTAATGGTAGTTACCAGTAATGTTTTTTTTTTTGTATGTATGTATACCTAGCTAAATTTTGTATATTAAAGTATAGTTTAAAAGTAATATTACATATCGATTTTTAAGTTTATAATTTTACAAACTATATTTTGCCAATTACTTGTGCAGCTCTAACTCACTACTGGTGAATAGTTTTTCTTCAAATATCTTTTAAACATGATTCTTGTCGCCATAGGCAATGTTTATTGACTCCTAAAATGATTATCTATAATTCTTCAATGTACACATTTTTTTGTATGACTCAGAATTCAACCTCAAGTCTGTATATCAGTAAAGGAAATTTTCTCTCAAAGTTTCATCATACACAATTATAATTCAAGATGGGTCTTAAGTGTCTACGGAAGAGGTTTTCAAGGAACCAATCATTTCTATTTTACTTCTCAATGTAAGAAAATGGGATAAAGACGATCTAACATCCAAATATTTGAGACATTTTATTGAATTTGTATATGAGAATTCTTCAGATAGATAGAAAAGTGGACTTACATACCCTCATAGAATAAAATTGAGTTCTGATCTAATCATGAGAGGTTTTATATTTAAATTCGTTTCATAGAAATAGATTCTAGGAGTTCATAAACATGACCATTGCCATATTATCTTATACTATTTCCACTTAATTATTTATTAGCAAATTGTTTATGTTATCTTTTTCTTTGTAAATACATTTACTTGCCAAACTGTTAGCACAATTTAATTATATGATGTAGTTTATATTTTTTTATATAGAAAGTTGTTGAATATTTTGCTTCTGTTTCTCATTATCGCAACTATTTATTCCTTGTAACAAATGTAGGTATTTTGAAATTCACAAATTGTTGTTAGTGTCTTCCTCAATAATTCATGTTTGCACTAATTAAATAGTGTGTAAGTTTAGATAGTGCAAACAAACCAATTTGTTCCTATTTTTCACCCTAAGTTCAAAAAACAAAATGTTTTCTATTTTGTCTTTCAGAGAGTCGGTTAACTAATCTGTCATTTGCAAGGCTCCCCAATCCTCAATAAATTGCCTTTGAAAAAAAAAAATAACAATTTCTACTTCTGCAGTGTGATGTTTTTACAAATTTGTACTATTTTTAGATACATCGAATATGAATTACTGTTATTAACGATTGAGAACTTTAAACCCGGTTTATTAAAATTATATTTATATATAAAAAAATCAGTATTAGAAATCGCTGTTTGATTTTTTTTTTTGGTTCCTAACAGGATAATATGAAAATAAAGTTTTCTACACTTTCGGTTGGAAATCTAGGTCTACTTTAAGACAAAGGTAAGAACTAAAATCATATGAATAAGGTTGGTGCTCAAACTATCAACTTATATATCTCGGCGGAAAAAGCATTGCCTTAATAAAATCCTACCTGAGTGATAGATATCAGACTGTCAGGGTTGCAAACGCACAATAGGGAACAATCATATTTTTCAAATTATTTTTTTTCTTATTGCTTATGTTGTCAAATATAAAATACATATGTTTTCTTTTGTATTATGTCCTCATTAAAATAAAAAGAATATATAAAATTTCAAATTATTTCCGTTGGCGCGAAAACGATTACCTTCAAGATGTCGGTACTTGTGACGACAACTGTTTGTAAATACAACGTTAAGGTCTGTTCTCACAAGAGTCTCTGACACTTTGCAAACTGTCAGAAAGAATCGCTCGTACCTTCGACTGCATTGAATGTGGTTTTTACGTTGTGTTTCTGTATTTGGCGTATTGTGACATTATGTGTTTCAATAGTTTGTCATGATTGATACAGAATTTATAGAAGCGCAGTCTGACAATCTTCTAAAGACCCATTTATGTTGGTTCAATATCAGTCGTGGCGTGACGTGAGCTGATCGTGGACCAATCGTTCTTCAGGGCCCAAGAGTGAATCATGGAAGCGTGGACAACGTTCGTTATTCACGGTCAGTGTGAACTACCCTTAACCTTGGTTTATGAACAGTTGACGTCACCGAAAGCGGCCATGTTGAACGTAGCTTTTCTGCGCGAAACTTTTCAATTTGAAACTAATAATTGCCGTATGAGAATAATAACGATAATTTAAATGCAAAACTGCTCATATTCAATATTTTACAGAAAAATGTGCAACATAAAAACAAAATGAACCAAATTTATTTCTCATGAGAATTCCCTATTAGAGGGGTTTGGAGCTGATCTCTGAGGTTCCTCAGGTTTCAATGCTCATTGACACCAATAAATTATCTATCTATTTGATACTATTCTCAACAGTCATGCACATTGTCAGATTCTTCAATAGTGTAATTCAATTTTTACATGCTCCACATCAAACATTCCAATTTGTTATAAAAATAAAACACAAAAAAATTTAAATAGCAATTTTTATTCATTTTCATATAATACTTAATGCTAATTTATTCTAAATTTATATGTTCAAGTAATAAATTAGGAGGGAGTGTCGAATAAGTTTTCATTTTTTTCATTTTTTTTATCTTATTGCACTGGCATATGTAAAGATTGTCGGGAGGGCCAGCACAGGTAAACACACACACACACTCCACAGGGGTTTGTGGAATGTAACAAAAAAAAAAAAAAAAAACACAATGAGAAGAAAATAAAACAGACGATATATATAAATTATAAATATATTATATAAAAACAAACAGGAGCCTATCCTCTTTAACAGGATAAGACCGGCCATCACAATAGCGACCAGTACAAAGACTGGCACTTATAAATCTAAAAATTTTATTAAATTTTCTATACAGACGTTGCTAAAAAAGTCACAATGTAGTAAAAAAGAAACCGAGCAAACAGTTGCGTAGCTATGCCTCAAGTAGGCGGGGGGGTGGGGGGTAACAATCCATAATAAAACACAGCCTCGCAAAGCCCAAAATACTTTTAGGTATTTTTTTTTTTCTCAATTAATTAGTATTTACTAGAAAATTATTCACAAAATATTTGTACAAAGTACTATGACACATATGTACAACAACTTTTAAAATATTTACATTACATAATTTACTTATTATATACATTAAGCTGCACTTGGCAGGGCATATATCACTTGTTCAGAAATCCTTATCAGTTCTCTTTCGGAGTCTCTCTTCTTCCATTAAAAAAAAAATGGAAGATACATTATTAAAAATGCACAACCGAAAAAATAGTGTGCGTCAGGTATGCAGCATACAATTTTAAATTAATTATTGTACCTTAATAAACACTAGTTTTTTTAGAATGCATTTTAGTAAATATTTTTTTCTTATTGGCATAATTTTTAAAAAAAAAATTGTATATAAATACAACATGCACAACTCCCTTATTATTGGTCCTGGTTCTAGTTTATTTTTCTCTGGTTTTCATTCGTCAATTTCCCTTTTAGGGGGCCGATAGCGTTTATTTTTTTTGAGGTCGCATCGTGCCTCAAAACATTATCGTTCAATCCTGACCGTACCTCGACCGTCATTCGTTTCCTGATTTCCTATACGACGAAGCTAAAAGCGTCCGACACCACTAGAGTTGTTCCACAAATTTACTCAGCTGATCTTGAGGCGTCATCGCTGGCATTTCGCTTTCCTGATTCTGAGCGCCGGCCGGACTAGCGTGCGGGTGCAACGACGAATGGTTTTGTCCCAAAAGCATTTCTGATGAGGCGAGATCGTGGGGCGAGGGTTGAGGTCCTCTAGGACTGGCCACTGCCTGGTTTCTTGGTGATGGCGAAGGTCTTGTTGATGGACTTGGTTGAGGGCTTCTGAAAACATACAAACAATAAATAAAATGCACCGTTAAAAATCCTGATTTTTGAATGTTAAAATTAGAAAAAATTTAAGAAAATCGTACGTGTGTGCAAAGTAAATTCAACTATACATATATGGTGAGTCAAGGATTTTCCTTCTAAAACAACAGATTCTTGAAAATTTTGGCGTATTCCCTGCGTTAACAGCAATTATTATGGACTTTGGACTCTAGTTTGTACAACGGAAGATCTACAAGGTCGATACAGGGTGTTGCACAATATTGCCGTCTGTTGGATCTTTTTCGGCTTGGCATAAGGATTTCGTATTTTTCTACCTCTATTCTGCAAAAAGCCTTCAACAAAAAACTGTTAAAAAGGCGATAAGGCTATCAGTAGGAAGTTAAACCTGCAGTGTGGTCAGAGTGGGTACTACTACTACATCTTTTATGTGGCAATATCATTGAGTTCGATGTTCGAATAATACGTAATGAAAAAACTCCGTGGAACTGAGCAGGATGCTCAATGGTGACAAGTGATCCCACTAGTCGGCTGTCAATTGAAGAACACAGTAGAAGAGGGTCAGCGCTTTTCACAGCTCACACTGAAGAGAAGCCTAGCTATGATACTGATTTAGGGGCTTTGATATGTGAGCTCCAGGAACAGATTAAGAAGATGAGGAGGGCAATGGAATTCTTTAACGAAAGGTACAAGGAGAAATCTAAACGGACGAGGGTATTGTCGGAGATGGTTTCTGAGGTATCTTAGGATAACCACGACTCACGAAATGAAGTTAATAGGATTAAATCTGCCTTGGAATCCCAGGATTTACAGGAGCAGTGTAAATTAATGAACAACATATACGTCACTGGTCTACTGACAAGACAAGATGAGGGAAATAGGCAAGATTGCAAGGATAAACTAATCAAGCTTAGATGTGAAAACTAGGGAAAGCTTTTTGCAGAATGTTAGACAGTTTCCAATGAAAACCGGTGTTAAAGCTGTTAGAACACTGCAATCAGCTGATGTTAAACAACAAATCTTAAGGGCCCGTTCTGCCTGTGATTCTGCGCAGTGCATTTGCATTGAGGAGGATCTTACAAGAGAAACCTACGAGTAATTTAAAAGAGTTAAGTAGCAACCAGAAACAAAAACTACAAGCTCATATGGCATAGAAATGGTAGAATCTTAGCACGCAAGAATGAGGGCAATCGTTATGTCATTATCAAGAATGAAGAGATCCTGGAGGAATTGTAATTTCAAAGAAATTTCTTTCTGTCTAACAAGGTTTATAGGCAATTTGTGCATTGGTCATGTCAATATTTGCTCGCTTCTTCTAAGCAAGAATCACATTCGTGACATTTGTACTGATTTAGGGCTGGATATTTTCCTAATTACCGAGACCTGGCTTAGTGCTAATATTCCAACTACTCAGGTTTCTGTTGAGGGGTTTGATTTTTACAAGTTGGATAGAGAGGGAAGAGGTGGGGGTATAGCGAATGCAAGACTAATGAATATTTAACATCTACTGAAATTCATCACTTTGAGCTACTTTATTTCTTCAAACAGTGACGACAATGGAGCATTTTTTAAGAGCCATATTATTCTTTGCAACTACCAGTTCTTATAAAGACAAATCAAACATACCTTATTGGTGGCGGACTCCGCACACTTTGCATCAACTGTTGCTGCACCGAAGATATGCCCTGCCCTTGGGGCGGGCCCATCATGCCCTGCGGCGAAGGAACTGGCGGAGGGGTCGGTTTCAAACCTTGCATGGGCGGATATTGCTGATCGTTGAACGAATTATTGTAGCCCATGTGAGGCTGACGTATACCAGGCAATCGTTGTTGATAGCCGCCGGGCTGCTGGAAGCCCGCTTGTTGTTGGGCCGCCTGTTGCTGCTGCTGGTGCTGCTGTTGCTGTTGACGTTGCATGGCGAGCAATTGCTGATGTTTATACCTGAAATTTATTTATTTATTTATATATTTATTTATTTATTATTATTATTATTTAGTATATTACACAACAAAGCAAACTCAAAATGGGATAAATGGTGGAACCAGAATGCCCTCACATTATTCTGGTCTGGCTTTTTATACCAGCTTAATTGTATGTTTGCTAAGGACAAGCCAATAATGACCTCAACCTAGTTTTAAAGGGGATTGGATATCTCAAATGGGAGAATCGCGACAAAGGTTTTTAGTTAGCTTTTTATTCAACGATGGCGACACTGTCGGGAGATAAGAGAAATTTACAGGTATCTGTGGTGTGGACAGTGATTGGGTTTTTTCGCTTTTTTTACATAGATACCGCATAAAACGGGGGAGGAATGTGAAGGGGCAAAAATTTCCCAACGCTATCAAAATCGGAAAAAATAAATAAATTTGACAGGTGTCAAAATGTCAAAGTGGGGTTCGACTAAGTCAACTGTCAGGAATCGAACCCACTTTATCCCGAATTTTTCTGACATCTCCTTGTCACTTTTTTTCGAAGATAAATGGACAAAATGACAGCTGTAAATTTTTTTAACGGGTGCAAAAAAATGTAAATTTTTTTTACATATATACCGCATAAATTATTCAAAAAGTTGAAAAAAAAAAAATTTAACAGGTGTCAAAATGTCAAATATCAAATTTGATTTTGACAGATTAGGACGTCAACTATCAAACGCAATTTATTTCAAATGGACAAAATGACAGCTGTCAAAATTTTTGACAGGTGCCAAAAAAAATGACATTTTTTACATAGATACCGCATAAAACGGGGAAGGAATGTGAAGAGACAAAAATTTCCCAACGCTATCAAAATCGGGAAAAAAAAAATTGACAGGTGTCAAAATGTCAAAGTGGGGTTCGACTAAGTCAACTGTCAGAAATCGAACCCACTTTATCCCGAATTTTTCTGACATCTCCTTGTCACTTTTTCCGGCGGTAACATAGACTAAATGACAACTGTCAAAGTTTTTGACAGGTGCAAAAGTCTTAGAAATTTTTTTTACATATGGGTCTGTCAGCGTCTAAATCTTGACAGTTACCGGCAAGGCTGCGCTATTCCGCTATTAATTCGCTTTTTTGTCAAGAATGCTGGATTAGTTGGGTTTTCAGTCAACGATGGCGCTGTAATTCATAACCGGTACATAACATTGCAGATACTTTTCTAGAGGTGATGGAGTGCAATTGAAATTTAAATTCATAGGGATGCACATATTGAGAAGATAAACGTGATAAATTATTAAAGTTTTATTATAAAAAGTTCTGAATAGTCTTACCATTGTTGTTGTTGAATCATCGGTTGGCCGGGACCACCTGGAACTTGATTAAGTCCGGGTTGTCCCTGGCCCAGCATCCCTCCTTGCATCGCCATACGCGTAGGATGTTGTTGCTGCTGCTGCTGCTGTTGTTGCTGGGCGGCGTTTTGTTGCGTCAGCATGTGTTGCAACTGCTGAGGAGGGTTGCCACCAGTCGCTTGCATCTGCGCAGCTTGCTGAACCTGCTGAAAGAAATCATGATTAAATTTCACACTCAACATTTTCAAATAACTATACATAAAGCAAATCTTAACCGACCAATAAATTTCTAGTTCACTAATAATATTTGTTAATAAACTAATAGTGTACCTGTCTTTGCTTGATAAACGCAGCCATCAGTTGAGGATTGGCCTTTAGTATCGATAGAATTTGCTGCTGCTGCTCGGGACTCTGAGGCGACCTGAGTGTCTGCATCAGCTGCTGCAACGCCTGCTTTTGCAGAACATTACCAGCGGCTGCTGCGGCGGCAGTAGGATTTCCCATGACACCTCCGACAGCGCCTCCAGCGGGACCGACGGGACGCACTTGCCCAGCGGACTGGCCGGCTGCGCCCGCTTGCACGTTGGGCGGCGCCCCTCCCATTTGACCGGACGGATTCATTCCAGGCTGTCCGGGTTGTCTTAATCCTGGTCCCACAGCTCCTGGATATCTTTGTTGCCATTGATCCATCGGCAATAGATTACCACCTAATTAATCACAAATAGTAACAGCTTCTACTAGGATTCAAATAAGTAAATTATTACCTTGATTTCCTAGATGTCCGGGCATGCCGCGTATAGGCGGAGGTGGCATATTTTGTCCAGGAACTTGACCAGGAACGCCTTTACCGTAACCGACGTGCGGAGCTTGTTGTCTTGCAGCCTCTTCCTGTACTTGTTTGACCACTTGTAGCACGTTAGCTGGTGGAGTTTGAGCGCCCGGTTTCAGACCGAGACCTGACTGATGCGAGGATTGAATGCCCATTGACGGATTCGGCAAACCTGATAATAAATTGAAAAAGTTTTTGTATTTAACAAAAAAAAAAAAAGAGCAGTCAACATTAAATACTACATCTGCTACTTCGCCAAAATAATACAAGATTCAATTCAAAACCTTTCTTAAATCCTAAATAGTCTTGACTATGAGTTATTGTTTACTGTTTAGTAAAAAAGAGAAAAATTCAGTTTAAATTTGGTTTGTTTGTTACTTTCGGGTGCTTTAACGTTAACATAGAACATATAGAGCAGAGCCAATAAAAAAAAAGACACTAGATTCTCTGTTTTCGGCAGTAAACTGGAAGTGAGGTTGGGTTAGGATGTCGCAGGATTGCTACAAGTGCATGAACCCCTGTGTTTTAAGGGAGGAGAGCGGCAAACTTTTTGGTTTCCCATGTGATTTCTGCAAGAAAGTAATTTGCAGGGAATGCACTGGTGCTTTAGCCAGAGAGGTTAGAATTATCCCAAGCACTTCGAGAACAACCATTTATCTATGTCCCACCTGTAAGGATATCATCAAGAACCTGCCGGAAATAAAGAAGATAATGCAGAAAAATAGTGAAGACATCAAAAAGACTCAGCAGCAGGGTGACGGAACGGCTAAATCCCTGGAAAGGCTGAAGAGTGAGGTAGATTCTTTAAAAAGCTCTATGGAAAGGAGAAGAAGGGAAAATGAAGCAAGAAGAGGGGAGATATCAAGTATAAAGAAAGAAGTGAGCCAAGTAGATCAGAGGCTTCCCCAAGTGAGCTATGCCGATGCACTCAAAAAATTAGAAAAAAGAGTCGATACAATTAAAACTCAGGAGATCGGCTGGAGCTGAACCTGAAATTAAGGTTACACTGTTTGAGATAAAGAAGACAGAGCGCCGAGCAACCAACGTCCTCTTTTTTGGGGTGGATGAATCAGCTAAGGATCAAGCGGATACGAAAATGAGTGATGACAAAGAAACAATTGAGGAGCTCTACAGAAAAATGAACTTAACCTCGCCTGATACTGCTAAGGTATACAGATTAGGAAGTGAAACGCCTAGCAAAAAAAGACCCATAAAAGTGATTCTACCAAGCAGATCTGAAGACCTAAAAGCACTTAAAAACAATAAAATTCTTGAGCAAAATGTTCCCGAAGTATATATTAAAGGGGATCAAACTGAAAATCAACGAAAACAAATAATTTACGATTTGGAAAAACAAAAGAGTGAAGGGAAAGTAAATCACATTGTGAAATATGTTAATGGGATTCCCAAAATTGTTGAAGAGTGAAAAAAACTAAATAAGACAGAGGTAGTTGAGATCTCATTTTGGTATAGTAACATGACCTCAGTAGTAAATAAGATTGACCAGTGGAAAGTGAGGGTGCTAGCTAGATGTCCAACAGTAATTATGCTATCAGAAACTGGGCTCAGAGATGACATAGATGACAGATTAATATGTCTAAATGGCTACACAATGTTTCGAGAGGATCGTGCTCATCGAAGAGGTGGAGGAGTATGTATTCTCGTTAAGAATGAGTTAGATGGGCACAAAATAAATTCCAGTGTGTCCCAAATCTTTCGCACTGAAGAACCAGTGGACTCAGTATGGCTTGAACTACAAGTAACCAAAATAAAAATCAATATCGCATGTATTTACAGGCCAGGAACTACTACTGAAGAAGTGAATAGTCAGATGATAAATTCAATAGCCAATGCATTCACATTTAAAAACCCAACTTTTATATTTGGAGATCTCAACTACCCCAACATCAACTGGAATACCCTATTGGTATCTCCCACAGACAAGAAAAACCAAGATTTTCTAGACATGTACCAGGAGGGTAACATGCATCAAATGATTAACTTTTCAACAAGATTCAGAAACAACCAGAGCTCTCTGTTAGACCTATTCTTGTGTAGTGATCGAAAAAGTATTTTTGATCTGACATCCACCCATCGGGTGCAGTGATCATGTTATCATTACAGCAAAAGCTCATTTAAAACTACCACCAACATCAACACAAAAAGTGCTGCGGAGGAACTACCACACTGTGAAATAATGAAAATGTAAAAGTAAATCAGTAAAAACCATGGATAAGTCAAGCACTTTTCAAAGAAATAGACAAAAAACGCAAATTGTGGGAGAGGTACAAAGGAAATAAGACAGATGAAAACTACCAAGCGTATATGAACCAAAACAACATACTTAAAAGGAATTTAGACAGAGCTAGAAAAGTATATGAACACAACTTGGTAACATCAGAATCTTCGAAACAAATCTACAAGTATGTTAGCCGAAATTTAAATTCTAAGGTGACAACAATAACATTAAAAGACCATGCTTCGCAGGAAGTCCTCCTAAATCGATGGCAGAGGAATTCGCTAAGCAGTTCAACAAGTCCTTCACACCACAGGATGACACTCTTCCCCCAAAATTGTCAGCACACCAAAGTGCAGAACACTGTTGATTCGGTGCACTTCACTGAGGAAAAGGTCATGGAGCTCAAGAGCATGAAAAAAGAATCTAGTCCAGGACCAGATGGCATACCAACTCAGTTTTGCTTCAGAAATGTAGTACTACGGTTGGTTCTCGTCTGGCAGAGGTTATGCAGGAGTGCTTAACAGCAGAGAACTACTGGAGAAAATACAAAGGGCTGTGACCAGAATTTCACCAGAATTACAAAATATGACCTACATTGAGAGATTGGAGAGACTGCAACTAACAATACTGAGTGAAAGAAGACAGAGGAGAATTAATAGAAACATTTAAAATATTAAGTGGACATTACACCTGCAATATTGCACGTATTTTTTCTCAAAATGAAAACCCACAACTGTGGCACATGTAAGCTCCAGAGAAAAAACTTTCTTTCAAATCGCGTAGTCTTTTCTTGGAATGCGTTAGCAGAAGATACAGTGTCAGCCCCTAGTTTAAACGCATTTAAAAATCGGTTGGATAGAGTTAAAACAAAGTGCATCGAGAATGATACATTACAGTGCCTAAAAAATAAACAGTGACTCTAATAAAACAGACAGTAGTTTCATCGGTTTCATTAATCGCCTGCTATTGGAACTTTACATGATTACATGAAATAAGACTGCAAAAACTCCAGTTGACAACACTCAGAGAAAGAAGAGACCTAATTGAAACACATAAGATCCTAAATGGCTACTACTCTACAGACCTAAAACTGGAAGATATATTCCAAATAAATACAAACTTAAACCTTAGAGGACACCACCAAAAACTGAAAAAAACGAGAACTGTTCTTCTTGGAAGGAAAAACTTTTTAACCAATCGCGTAGTCTATAAATGAAATTCCCTAAGCCCAGAAACGATAAGTGCACCAAACAAAAACATCTTCAAAAATAGACTATAGACCAAAATCTTTGTACTATAAACAACACATTAGTGCATTATTTTTGAAGGAATACCAAAAACAAAAAACTAAAAGTGAAAAATCAAAAACGATGGACTCATTGGTCTTAGACCGCTTTCCATTGCCAAGAACATTAATAATAATAAAACCAATCTCTTACCAGAATTCATTCCTCCAACAGGACTGACTGCTCCAGGTCCAACTTGCCCTCCACCACCTGACATGCCACTAGAATTATTTCCAGGCATAACACTAGAAGTCCTAGACATGACCGCCATTCTCCTCCGCAACAATTGCGCCTGCTGTAGCCGCTGTTGCAATTGTTGCTGCTTGAGTTTGTACTTGATGTTGGGACAGAACGGCACCGGACACTTAGTTTCCGGACAATTCTTGGCGTGATAACAGCACAAGGCGATGAGCTGCTTACAAATAGGACATCCGCCGTTGGTTTTTCTTTTACAGCCTCTGGTGTGGTTCACCACGCGGCTCATCTTTTTACAGCTTGGCAGGCGACAGTTGGCGTCTCTGCATTGACACGCGTGGACCAATGATTGTATACATCTTTGTATGGATAATTTCCTAGCCTCTTGCGGATTGGTCTTGTTATTATCGCTAGGCGAACTGGCGTCGTCCAACAGTCCCAATTTCTCCATTTTGTGCGGGTGTCCGACTTTTTCGTAGCACTGTATGCACAAGTCGAAATCTTCGCAAGCCACACAGTGATAGCGGGTTTCCACGTGCGATTTGCACTCGTTGCACGTGTAAACGAACTTGTCTTGGCCTTGATTGTGTAGTTCGTAGAGCATGGACATCGTGCTGTATTTTGCACGTCTCAGGGATGAAAATTCGAAGTGCTTTTCGCGCGCCATTGTTAGGAAGGCGTCGCGACCGTCCATCAAATCACAACCTAGGAACTGGTCTGGGTCTTGGATTGGCTGAAATTAATTTATTTTGTCAATATCCTGTTTTTCTAGCAATTGTATAGTTACTTATAAACAAACTATATACATTGAAGATTTCATTAATTCAAATTAACTATGTATGTACATACTCACATATTATTATCAATTATTGCATTAAAATATCTTTCTTACCTTCAGACTTGCTGCAGATTGAACAGAATGCAATCTGATAACGAAAAACACATCCTTGTGTTTGTCCATGGTGGCGAAAATTTTTGCAGACAAATCGTTACCGGTCTGAGGAGTATTTGACTTTTTATTGTTACTTTTTCTTTGGTTTGCTTTAGACTTTGTGCTCTTTTTTGCTTTTTTCTGGCCTTTCTTTTTGCCATCGGGTCCCACTTCGCTCTCTTCCATTGAGGAAAATATCTAAACAAACGTTATTATGTACTTACAATTACTTGTTTTTAAGGCTTGACTTTACTTATGTATGTGCATTTTACTATTGAGAAATTATTATTGATTAGTATTTTCTGATTTGTTAAAGCTGTTTTGTACTGAATTGAATTGAAAATTTAAAAACTAATACAGACAAGAAATAAATTCTTACCGCAGCTTCAGCAGCTTCTGCTTGTTTTCGTTTTTCTTCTTCCTCTTGATCTAATTCTTTAATGCTCTCTTCTAAAACGTTAGGCCAAAAATCTCCTTCAAAATAAGGAAGATCGGCTGCTGATCGCAAATTATCCTCCATAGCTTGTTTGAGAATATCCTAAAAAAAAAAAAAATAATAAATAAAAATATATCCACCCAAATAACATTAAAAACCAACTTACTTTATAATCGAGAATAATCCTTTCAATGATACCTTTATCGAGCATCTTTTTATACCAGTCTTGAAGTCTCTTAGGTTTAGGAATTTTCTGATCAGGAGGATGACAATGAAAGATGTAGTCATCACCTTCACTAGGCGGACAAGCCCAAATGTGAGCCATAGTATAACCTAATTGTTTAACATAATCTAAATACCCTAGAAGAATTTCGTGATATACGGCAGTCCTAAATTGTTTGGGTTTGAAAAAATGCACAGAATCCAAATAGGCTATGTATACACGTCTAGTATTGGGCGCAGGACATTCGCTTCCATATTCTTGGACGTGCATACCGAAAAAGCACACATCGACGCCATCCACTTCTTCAAATGCAAACAAGGCTTTTGCTCGATAAGGAAATTCTGCAGGAAGTTCACCGGTGTCTACGAATTTACTACGCATTCCTTGCTTGACCTCAACCATCTTTTCGCTACTTGAAACTACACGTATGTGAACATCTCCAGCGCCAGCTTCTTTCTTTTTCAGGAATATGTTTACCCTATTTTCAATGTAAACACTCAAATTTGAGGTGCTTAATCTTTTGGCATTGTATCTATTGTCTCTTCGCTTAGTATTTTTCACTTTTAAACATTCGTCACAAGTAAAGCCTTGTGGCCATATTGCTTCGTGGTGTAGAACACAAATTTTATGTAACTTACGTCCACAATCATTGCAATGAACAAACTCTTCCATTTCTAAATGATCGTTTTTCATTTCTTTAAACTGGTCCTTTTTAATGGCACTAAGAATGAAAATTAAATTAAATTCCAGCAATTTATTCAAATTATTAACTCACGTTTGTGCTTGAGTAGGATCATCTCCTAATGTCACAGTGTCCCCTTGAATATCGTTGAAACATTTTTGGCAAAAAGTGTATCTGTCAGAACCAAGTCCATAGGCTTTTAAGCTGTGAAAAAAAATAATTTGAGAAATTATCAAATCTGAGTTCAACAATATCAAACTTGTTAAGATTTCTGTTTGATGATACACTAAAATTTGAACTTAAATCATATATTCTATAATGTTCAGTTTATACAGGGTGAATTACTAAGAGCGCGGTGGTCCATATCTCCTATACTAACAGAGAGCGAAGAAAATAGTATGTTACAATCCGAGACGGGAAATGTTTCATTGCTGATCGAGAGGTTATATAGTTTATCGAGACGCGTAGCGTCGAGATAAACTGTATCTCGAGACAGCCATGAACTTTCCAGTCGAGGTTTGTATACTATTTTATTTTTAACTATAATTTATTGAAAAAAAAAAAAAAAATTCGCAACAACCAAATAAATGAGGTCGGGAAATGAGGACGGGAAATATTTCCCTGCTCCATTTTCCGTCCGTGGACGGGAAATGAGGACGGAAAAAAAATTTCTCGTCCTGAGACAGTTAATGGACCAGGAAAATGAAAAGACAGAAATGTGGCATTTTCAAATTTTTGAAAAGTCAGTAATGACAACATTTCATATATGGTTAAAAATGAAAGTAAATACAAAAATTGTAGATAAACATTAGTACTACATTCCTAAATTATTTTCCAGTATACAGGGTGGCTCAATAAGTAGTGGTGATAAAAGGTTTTGTTTTTTTAAATGACTAGCCCTGTATATTATGACATTTCTGGATTCTGCGGAAAATTCTAGACATATTTTATGTACAATGTCATATACCTATCTTCAACTGTTTGGGAAATATTGACAGTTTAAAATTGACTTTTTTGCATCTTTGACAGACTGTAAAATCTTAACGGTTGATTTTACAGCAAAACCGATTTTACATTTCATAAACTATCATTTGACATCAACTTTGAATTTAATCTGTCAAAGGCATAATGCAAATTTGGGCTTTTTATAATTTGCCTAGGCATTTTACAACAAGCCGGCAAAACGCAAGCATAAAATGCTTTTTTCGTTATGCCGGCACCATTTCAGGCAAACTGATAAAATGTCGGGGAAACAAGAACACAAGAATATCATGTTGTGACTGATTATTCTTAGGCATTTTACAATTTGCCAAAAACGGAGCCGTCAAAACGTGAAAAAAAGTCGAAAATACTATTAAATATAAATAATACAGTTACAGTAAATCTTTTTATTTAGGAAACATAAAGAAACTGTTAACACTATATTATCCACCTAACACAAATATAAAACTGCAGTTTGTTTAATACTGATTATAAGTGTACTGGGTTGACAACAATTCAATATTACCATTCAAGGATATTCGTGGCTACAGATGAAAATGCACTTTGGCTCCTTCGATTTCGCGCGGTTATTTAAAAGAAAAACTTACCCGGTGACCGGTGAGTGCACACAGTACATTCTCTAATTTTTTTGCGTATGTCACGGGCAATGGGCCATGTAAATAATATGGCGTTATTTATAATGCCCAGACAATTTAATGAATGAGTGAATGAATTAGAAGATATCTTCACATTGTCCGGGCATTGGTCATTATGATTAATGCTGGAGTGAAGTAGATAACTTGTTTGATTAAAATTGCAAACTAACCCAGACTAACCGGATTATTATCAGGAAGTTTGATAATCACCGATTAAAATTGCCAATTAATCCAAACTAACTGGGTCATTATCGGTAAGTTTGATAATGATAACGGACTGGAATAAAAATGCGTGTGTGTTTCTCGCACGCTGGTAGGAAAATCTATCACACATTCTACTACGCGGCAGTTCAATAACAGCTGTACGGAGTGCTCCAACCCACCTGTTCGGAGTAACAGTTCGCGTACTCTGAACAGTTGGGTTGGGTATTCCCAATAGTTGGTGTACTCGGAGTACTCCAACTGTTTGGAGTGAGCCAACTGACCGGAGTACTCCTACTGTTTGGAGTACTGCTAAGTCGGAGTAATCTAACTGTTCGGAGTACTCCTACTGATCGGAGTACTCTAACTGTTCGAAGTACTCCTACTGATCGAAGTACGCCAACTGTTCAAAGTACCTCCAACTGTTGGGAGTACTCCGAGTACACCAACTATTCGAGATACTCCGGTTACTCCAACTGTTTGAGTACTTCAACTGTTTGGAGTACTCCGAGTAACCTAACAGTTCGGACTACTCCAAGAGTTTGGGGTACATTGTCAAACTTACCGATAATAACCACGTTAGTTTGGGTTACTTTGAAATTTTATTCAGACATTACTAAACTTACCAATAATAACCCGGTCATCATTTATAATGCTGTGTGGGCAATCTGATATCTTTTGTTTAATTCATAATTTTGTCATATTTCTTTGGGCACTTTCTAAATTGCCCGGGCATTAAATTTAATGCTCAATTATTAACATTGCTCGTAACAAAATACAATACCAAAAAAACACTACTACGAACTGATTTTTCATTCGAAACTTGGAACGAGTCCGAACAGTAAACAAACACTCAAGTCAATAATTAGGTGGATTGGTTAGTTTGCATACTTTTGGTTAGTTTCGTTAAAGTTCGTTTATTACTGGTTATAAGTGTACTGGTTAATAACAAAGCGCGCAAAGCGGAAACGGAATGCGAGCGACAACAACGGATTTCAGATTTGTGATAAGCGACTAAAATTATACCTTCCTACAAAAAATCAACAACAAATTCGGAATATTCGGATTTGGTAATGGATAATAGATAATTACCCTAATACCTAATCGAGAAAATTCGACTTGTTTTATATCTATTCACGTTTTGACGGCACCGTTTTTGGCAAATTGTAAAATGCCTACAAATAATCAGTCACAACATGATATATATTCTTTTGTTTTAGGAAAAGCCTAAATTTGTATTATGCCTACGACAAATCCATGATTAAAAATTCTACTTAAATTTATAATCTTTGGTTAAATTCAAAGTTGGGGTCGAATGATAGCTTATGAGAATCCAAGATAGGAATGTAAAATCGGTTTTCCTCTAAAATTAACCATTTAGGTTTTACAGTCTGACAAAGATGCAAAAAAGTCAATTTTAAACTGTCAATATTTCCCAAACAGTTGAAGATAGGTATATGACATTGTACATAAAATATGTCAAGAATTTTCCGCAGAATCCAGAAATGTCATAATATATAGGGCTAGCCATTTAAAAAAATATAACCTTGTGTCATCACTATTTATTGGGCCACCCTGTATACTGGAAAATAATTTAGGAATGTAGTACTCATGTTTATCTATAAGTTTTGTATTTACTTTTTTTTTCGATCTCTATTAGTATAGGAGATATGGACCATATAGGCATAGATCAGAGAATATCTGAATTGCGATACCAGAAAAAATGTTATATGTTTGATTTTTTAATAAAAAGTTGTCAGCTCAATCCTTAAAGTTAAATCAATAAATTATTGAAAAGTATTGGAGTTTCAGTGGTATTCCATTAAATGTCACATAAAAACTAACACAATAGAGCATGTTTTGTTTTGATTTAAAACAGGGTTGGAAAAAACCCGGGTTTTTTTTGAAAAAGTCCAACCCGTCGGGTTTTTTTGGATTTTTTGGGTTTTTTTGGGTTTTTTCTTCAAATTTGATTCATAGTTTCTGCTCTAGCAAGAGTACGTATTACAAAAATTATGACTTTTGTTGAAAAAAAAAAAAATCCTCAAAAAATAGAGCAAGCCACTTAATATAAATAATTACATTTGGCATCAGTGCACTGCACTGCGCCTCTGGCTGGCCAGCTCAGAGACTCTGTGTCATGTAGAATTCTACATATTCACAGGATTCTATAGACTCGGCGCAATTCGATATGTCGAATTCTACATGGCACGGGAGTCTCTGCCCAGGCCTCCACGCCAAACGCCAACAGTCAGGGATTGGGGAATCATCAGGGAATCCCCGATATTTTCTGTGAAAATGCCACTCATTCAACTGAAAATTTGCCATTTTTAAAAAAACCCAATAATGGTGGCTTTAATCAATTGAAAAAACCTGAAAAAAACCACTGGGTTTTATAACCTGGGGAAATTCTAAGCCAACCCTGATTTAAAATATGTACATTAAAAATCTCACCTATTTTGGTAACTATAGTACTTGGCATCTCTTGGAATTGTACACAACTGTTTCCCATAACAACATAAAACTTGTGGATTGAACGTGTACTTTCTACCACAGCAGTACCCCATCGATTGCATTACAGGATCGATTTCCAGCTCAAAAACCTCTGACAACTAAAACAAATCATCCTTGTAATAAATTATTTTACAAAAAAAAAAAATCATACCTTTGTACAATATCTATAAACTCTACTAGTTTTCCTATTGTACAGCCATGCATTGTCAAACATCAGCCATACATCGTCAACATACTCCCAAGGATCTTGATAGGTCCCTATATCCAATTTCCTTTTGATAGTCGATAAATCCATAGGTCGTTTCACAATGTCAAAATAATCAGGAATGCCCAACGTTTGAGGATCTACTGGCTGTCTAAAGGGTATACTTTCAGGATCTTGTCTGTACAATTTTTCTAAAGTTGGCATCAGTTTTTGACGCAACTCGTCCGGTTTAAAAACCTTGACTCGTTTACCGCCTTCAGTACTAGAAGTGGCAATAGCATTATCCATTGTCGGTTTAATATCCGGGCCATCTGGATCTTCCTTGATTTGCTTGCCACATTTCATATCCATATCTGGTTCCATTTTAATTTCAGTTTTTATATCACTATTCATATTTTTGCCCCCTACATTCGAATCGCTTTGCGAATCACTATGATTATCATCCATTTCTTGTTTTATCTCCATAGGCTCGGATTTTATTTCTAATTTACCCTTGTTTCCTTCAGAAGCGGGCGGCGAATCGTCATTGTTATCGTTCGCAGCTATAAGTGCCGCCATTTGAGATGAAAAGTTAGATTGCCTTGGAGCGTTTTGTGCCGCCCTCTCTGCACTACTCATGCCTTTCCCAAGACTGGCTGCTGTATTAGGAGAAGCTTGTATCGGCGTTGCTGGTGAAGGAGACGGGCCTCTAGATGAACTAACAGACTTTGGTCCCGTTGCAGTTCCGTGAGGAGTCGTCACACTTTCATTATTGGGCAACCTAGGAGTACCATTTTGCTGAATAGAACTTGGTATTTGCTGAGAGGCTTGCTGCTGCCCAAAACTGGAAGGTGACGGAGATACTCTACTATTTTTGACCATATCAAATTGGTTTTGTTGTACCCCAACTGGAGAAGCTTGAGGCAAGCTTATTGGTCCGTTTGAAGTGAACTGGTTAGCTGATGTAGTGCTTCCTTGGGAAAGAGGATTACCAAAAGGAGATGAACCAGGGTTGGAAATTGTGGGACTAGGTCCTGGTAATCCTACCAAATTAGGTTGTTGTTGTGGCTGCTGTGGTTGCGTCGCAGAATTAGATTGCTGAACAGGAAATACCATTTGGTTGCCAGACGAGGGAAGGCCTAAATTTGGTTGCAAAGAATTTGGAGATCCTAGCCTGCAAGTTTGTCTAGCTTGAAGTGGCATGCCTTGAGGCCGAGCAGAAGCTTGAATATTTGGAGTCATACCTTGCTGTTGGGCTTGGGCTTGAGCCTGCTCTTTTCTCTTTTGCCTCTTTTCTTCAAGTTCTTTTTGGATTTTGTAAATTTTTTCAGCCAGCAAGTGATAATATTCGGATCGCGAGTTGGCCATTTCGTACATGTCTCCTTCGACTTTCCTCGCATAAGCAACTAGATTATGCATTCGCCTATCCAGCAACGCTTGAGGATCCGGAGTTGGAAAAATTGCTTGGACTAATTTGTGTACAAGGTGATTTCTTAAATCAGCTGTAACAGATTGATGCCATTCTTTGGTCCCTGTTACTGGTGAAGCTGTAACTTGTCCCGGTTGCAAACCACCAGGTAATTGACTGACTAATCCTTGATTGGCTGCTTCTGCGCCGCTTGCCAAACCAATCATGACACTATTCACATTTTGTTGGAAAGTACTATTTTGTTGATTGATGGCTTGACTGGGTCCTAATATATTCGAAGATGGGTCGCTACCTAAAGGCAAGCTGACATTAGGTGCCAAACTAACATTGGGAGCGACATTTTGTGGGCCAGGAGGACAAGGTCTTAAAATCCCTGTTGGACCACGATTCTGAAGTGGAGCGTTAGGGTTGATGGGCAACCTGAGCGCCTGCCTTAGTGGCGCCGCATTGGGCAAACACGGGGCAGGACCAGTGCTGGGATTAGACAACCCAAGCGTATCATAAGTTCTTCTCAATTGAGCTTCAGAATTATTAACAGCAGGCTGTTGGACAGCATTTTGTGGAGCGTTTGCCGCCGCTGCTGCATTATTTCTGTTTTTATCAGCTTGCTTCAATGGTAGGCAAACTGGACAATCTTGCCTAACGCAATTTTTCCAATGGCTGATGATTTGCCTGGACGAACTACAGTGCGCCACACTACAACTCCTACCGGCATTGCAAGTGGTCATGTGATTAAGTACGTTTTTCATTGTTTTACAATGTGGCAGTGTACACGTCCACGATTCGCCATTGGCTTGGGTGGACTCTCTTCGTTGGCATTTATGAGCGTGTAGTAGTAAAACCAGTTGTTGTTGGATCAGTTTACGTTTTTCTGGATCTGAAATTTTAATAGGAAAAAATATACAGGCGCGGGCAAGACAATAAGTATACAAACAATTTTCTTTTTATTGAATCTTAACTAAAAAATCCAATTGTGCACAGTGGTTGGGTACTTTGAATAAGAGTTTTTGTATACATTTTCTCAAATATTATGAGAATCCTTTTTGCACAAAACTCACTACATTGGATTTGAAATAGGCATATAAAATTACATAATAAATGCAACTGCAGTTTGAAACATTAATTTTCAATTTTTTAATGTAACCCTTCTTATATAAGCAAAGAGTTGAAAAAATGACAAACTCTTGATTTTGAGATCTAAAAAAACCTTCCTTCAACAAATTTACAAAGATGTTTAAAATTGTGTAAGATCTATCTCATTTTCAGACAGGGTTTGAAAAAATCATGATTTTTTTTAAAAACAATATTAGGAAACAGTATTTTTCTGTTTTGGTTTTTACACGTCTTCTATATCAGTTTATTTTATACAGGGTGAATTACTAAGCGCGCGGTGGTCCATATCTCCTATACTAACGGAGATCGGAGAAAAAACTAAATACAGAACTTGTAGATAAACAAGAGTACTACATTCCCAAATTATTTTCCAGTATACAGGGTGACCCAATAATTAGTAGTGACACCAAGTTATGTTCTTTTAAATTACTCCCCCTGTATATTATGACATTTATGGATTCTGCGGAAAATTGTAGACATATTTCATGAATAATGTCATATACCTATCTTCAAATGTTTCGAAAATATTGACAGTTGAAAATTGACTTTTTTGCATCTTTGACAGACTGTGAAATCTAAACGGTTAATTTTAGAAGAAAATGGATTTTACATTCCTATCTTAGATTTTCATAGGCTATCATTTGACACCAACTTTGAATTTAAACGAAGATTAATAATTTAGGCGGAATTTTTAATCATGGATTAAATTCAATATTGGTGCCAAATGATAGTTTATGAAAAACTAAGATAGGAATGTAAAATCCGTTTTCTTGTGAAATTAACCGTTCAGGTTTTACAGTCTATCAAAGATGCAAAAAAGTCAGATTTCGACTGTCAATATTTCCGAAATAGTTGAAGATAGGTATATGACATTGTACATGAAATATGTCTAGAATTTTCCGCAGAATCCAGAAATGTCATAATATACAGGGGGAGTCATTCAAAAAAACATAACTTTGTGTCACTACTTGTTATTGGGCCACCCTGTTTACTGGAAAATAATTTAAAAATGTAGTACTCATGTTTATCTACAAGTTTTGTATTTAGTTTTTTCTCCGATCTCCGTTAGTATAGGAGATATGGACCACCGCGCGCTTAGTAACTCACCCTGTATTTTATTCATGTTAAAACCTGCAAAATTAAGAAGTCCGCTAGTTGAAATTTATAGTAGTCTTTGTATGAGTATTTTCCTGTAAAATCCTGTCTACACAATATACAGGGTGACACAAGAAATAGGGAACAGCCTATAACTTTTCTAATATACAGTGTCCCCCATAATGTTCGCTACATATGGGGAAATTTTTTATTTGTAGGATATGGAATTTTTTCCTATGTGCGATCGATCCTGCATGTCCGATAACCTAAAAGTACATTTTGACATTGGTCACGTGATCACTGTTGTGGCGGCAAATTCGAAAATTTAGTTATGGAAACGCGAAAAGTGAGGTTGAATGACAAAATTTCGAAAAAAGTTATTTGGAAAAAGTGATTAGAACGATGTTTTAGGGCTGTCTGCGAAATTTGAAGGAAAAATAATAGAAAACAGGAAATTACTTGTTTTTAGCCATGGATCTCTTATCGAATATTATTATACAATTTTTATCATTGAAATAGTCCAAGTACCTCTATACTTAATGTGTATTGTTGAAACAAACTTAAGTTCTTCATTGGAATGATTCCCAAAGGATTAAATAAAAATATTCGACTAGCACATGAAAATTTTCTGTAACAATACCCTGGATATTGTCAGTTTCTGAAATTTTTAACTTACACATTAAAAAAGTTATAGGTTATTCCCTATTCCTTGTGTCACCCTGTATAGAAGTGAAAACAATTCCTGAACCGTTTCATTTCACAATTTTGTTAAGTCTTACCTGTTTGTGATTTGAAGTTCATCACATAAAAGTGAAGTGTGTAAAATGAAATTTAGTGGACGAAAGACATAATTTGGAATTATTTTATAGAAAAACTGGTGGTAAAGCGATTAAAAAAATAAAAATTGAAAAAAAGAGATAATTGCTCAAAGATAAAAAATCATCATAACAAGTGTAAGACATTACAAGTAGATACATTTTATTTGGATTTACAACATTGGTCCTAGGTTTAATTTGTATGTTGTTTCTCTATTTTGTAAAATAAATGATTAAAATCGCTCTCAAAACTTTAATATTTAGTTTGTAATCTTTGTAAAAATATTTTCGTCAATGAATGTTAGTACTATCAAAATAATGTTTCCAAGAAAAAAAAGTAAATCATTTGAACTAACCCGTACCTGTCGAGGGTGCTGGCGCCGCACCCTGCTGACCAGGTTGATTCTGAGTCGCCTGTTGCGGTCCCGGCTGCGAAACGCTTGGCGCTCCGGATTGCGGTTGCGCCGGTGAAGGTGCCGGAGGTTGTGTTTGTACTATACTGCCGTCGCCGCCCATCGGTCCGCCCCCCATTGGTCCTACAGGACCGGACGAGGGTGCACCAAATCTGGGATTCGTGCCTGGAATTTTTTGCTGGGGTGTTACAACGCCAACTATGAGAAGACAAGTTAGAATAATTTTTTGTTTCATGTCTGTATATTTTCATTCATTGTTTCACTTTGTCTTCATTTTAAATTAAATTGATGCAAGTAATTGTCAATGATTGGATAATAAATAAAGCATGTTTAGATTTGATCTAAAATTTATCGTGTAGAAAAAACAATAATACAAAAAAAAAAGGTTCCTACCTGGTGGGCCAGCTTGATTCATGGAATTGGCATAAGGATAAGGTGAATTTCCAGGCATTCCCTGATTCATTGGACCTCCAATTATAAGGTTGGAATTTTGAAGACGTGAACCACCTATATGGATTCCATGAGGTCCAGGGGCTCTGTTCATGTGTGGCAATCGATTGATCATAGGACCATTTTGTAATCCCTATAAAATACATAATTAAAAATTTCTACATAACAATAATCAATAAAACAAATTTACCTGAGGAATATTATGATTACCAGGATGATGAGGCTGCCCAGATATCATATTGGGTCCTGAAGTGAGTTGAGGCTTGTTGACAGCCCCACTACTGACAACCAAACCTCCACCACCCATTCCTCCAATGGAACTTATATTACTATTGGTCATAATCATACTTCCTCCAGCTGTATTATTCAAGCCTGAAAAAATAATAACAATTTATATGATAATCTATATAAATTAACAATATTTACCTTGAATAGAACTCATCACTTGTGGATTACTTCCATTGTTGGCAATAGCCTGAAGTCCAGCTGCATTGCCTATGCCAGAAGGCAAATTACCAAGATTCATTTGATCTACCACTCCACCTTTAGACACTGAAACATTTGGAGGCGATTGTAAATTGGGACTTTTACTTCCCAACTGACCTCCACCTAATAAGGAATTACCAACAAGTCCTTTGTTACTCTAAAAAATAAAACAGGATTCAGTTTTGATTGGACACAAAATTCTACAAATTTACCTGTTGCAACAAATGACTAATTTGCATTTGTCTTAGGGTGTTGGCGTCAGTGTTGTCTATGCCATTTTGCATCCCACCAGGCCCTGGACCTTGGGCAGGTGGTTTTTGATTTCCCATATGATCAGGAAGCCATGAAGACGATGAAATCAATTCGTCAGGCAAATCATTCTCCAAGTCTAGCATATTTGCTAGGACATCTAAAATTTCACATATTATTTTTGTTTTGGAAGATGTAACAAACATTTTTATTATAGTCTTATAGTATAGAATATTTTGTGTAGATGAATAACTCTTAGTATTTTTTGTAATGTGTAGAAGACAATTAACTTTAAATACATTTTACAATACACACATTTAAAATTCATGCAATTTAAAAAAAAGCATACACTTAAAAACAATATTAAAAGAGAAGCAATTTATATACATAAGTTGCCTATGATTTATTTTTTATACATCAATATTTTATTTATTTATTATGGGTTAGTACATTTTTCATTAATAATTATATTAGCAATTAAATTAATAAGTAACAAATTGTTGTTGGTATTTACTTTGATTTTGGCTAAAGTTCCACTGGTTCCTAGGATTGAACACACCACCACCTTGAGTTGATTCTGTGGATCCCAACCCATAGTTGTTGTAAGCTAGTTAAGTATAGTACAAGATGTAAAGAAGGGTTTTTAACTTTTCGACTTATATTAATATATAATTTCATAGTCTCATTTTATTGAATATTCGTTTTTGGCACTTGAAGCAGTATTTACATGAATATTGCAACAAAAAATAAATATAACAATCTACTTGGTGCAAAATAAAAATTAAGGAATTTTTGTTCAAACATGAAAGTGTGGATGTTTTATAATCAGGTTCTTTCATCGATGAAGAAAAATTGTGTTTACAAAGACAAAAGGTACACTATTTATTATTCTAAAGGCAACCCAAGAGTAATGGATTGTAAATATTGTATAAATGCTGCACTACAATAATGTATATGTATTGTTTTAAAAAATTACTTATTTTTACGTACATAGATTTTCTGCTTTAGATGTTGATTAATACTAGAGTTTTTAAATAATTTTTTTTCTGAATACATCTGAAGAAGTACCTAATGGTTCAACCCAAGTCATGTGGAAAATAAAAACAATTACGTATGTGTCACAATTTTTATTAATTAATAAGCAACTCCAATACATTCTATATTACTGGCTGGCAAATTTGTAGAAATCCACACTTTGGCATTTGAATTTTCTTGCAGTGGACAATAGAGGATTCTTTACCTTTTGGAGTAGTTATTTTGGTGTAGAGTTAGATATTTGATGACATTAACTCATCTACTCAAAATTGTTGGCTGGTTTTGATAAAGACATTTCCAAAAACACATGGTTACTTGATAATTGATGCATTCTGAGGATGATTTAGAAGAATTTGCCAAGACCACAAATACGGCTAATCCAGAATGAACTCAGATTACAAAGAAAAGTCACTGACAATTTTTGAATAGAAATTGCCAGTCATTTCTAGAATTTTGAAAAAATCCTCTCAGGCCTAGATACAAGGATTTTTAGGAAAATTAGTTCAGAGGCAAGTTTCTGAAGACAAATAAATAAGTATACAATAAGTATCAGGCTCGGTATCAGGTGAAAATAGGATCTATGGAATTCTTGAAGTTAAATTAATTTTTATACATTTAAGTACTTAAGAGAATTGTCTATACCTAGGTATAGTAGAAATAAAACTCAAGGTAAAAAATGCTTTGGAAATGCAAAATATGTATTCCTGTTACAGTATTAGAAAGAAACATTTAATTTGTGTTGGGTTTCTGCGATTTTTTTCCAATTTCTTGGGAAGTTTTGCAATCCTTGGAAATTGTTGCTATTTCAATATCAATCATTGCAACTTTTACTCGTACTTTTATCTCGACTTTTATGGGAGTTATCAGAAATCCCTCAGTTTTATAAATGTCCAAAGTTGAAATACCTAATAAGGTTACCTAAAAAGGAGAAATTGGTTGGGGTTGCAGTAAGTATACCCTTCAGCTACATTGTTTTGCCATTTTTTTTTTCTGAAAAATTCTCTTTTATGGGGTTTTTTCTTCTTTTAAAAAATTAGGCTATTCAGAATTGACTGGGTTGTGAGTTGTGGTACCCTATATGGCCCATGGGGCATTTTTTTGGTGATAAATTTAGGCTTTTTTTTTGAAAAAATTTCAATATTTTGACAAAAACCCTTTTTTCGATGAATCGCAATTATCAGTTCTACCCCCTTAAACCACCCTCAAAGTTATTTGCAAGTCTTTTTAGGTACCCTACACAGTGTATATTGGTACTGCTTATAACTTCCAGTACCATTTGTATCCAAGACTAGGGTGGAAATGTCCATATTTTCACAAAAACTCTTTTTTTCGATGAATCGCAATTATTAGTTTTACCCCCTTAAACCATCCTCAAAGTAATTTGCAAGTCTTTTTAGGTAGCTTTAACGGTATATCTTGGTACTGCCTATAACTTCCAGTACCATTTGTATCTGCGACTAAGCTGGAAACGTTCATATTTTCCAATGACATATATTTTCACAAAATCCCTTTTTTTGATGAATCGCAATCGTTAGTTTCACCACATTTAAACTACCCTCAAAGTTATTTACAAGTCTTTTTAGGTACCCTGAACGGTGTATATTGGTATTGCCTACAACTTCCAGTACCATTTGTACCTGAGACTAGGGTGGAAATGTCCATATTTTCGAAGTTTTAGTTAGGGATTTTTCCTTTTTCTTAAATGAAATACTTTTAGAGGAAACCCTTATATTGTGCTACCCTTTGGCTACATTTTGTCTATATCGAGGTCTATATTTTAGAAAAATTTGCCTGGAAAATTCTCTTTCGAGGTTTTTGTTCTGAAAACTGTCCTTTTCATGAGGTTTTTTCATCTTTTAACAAAATTAGGATACGCAGAGGAAAAATATATATTGTGCTGGGTTGTGTGTGGTACCCTTAAGGTAGCTTTTATCTCGGCTTTTATTTTTTCCTAAACAGTTGAGCTTCCTTTAGAGGAAAACCTAAGGTTGATCTATCATTTGGCTACATTTTGCCATTATTTTTGATTTTTTTTCCTAGAAAATTCACTTTCCTAAAGGTTTTTCTTGAAAACTCTTCAATTTTTTTCTCTTTTATCAACAAAGTAAGGTTACTTTTAGAGGAAAAATGAATGTTGAGCTAGGTTGTGTTCGTCCTTCAGCTGCATTATGCTATTATGTTGAATTTTTTTTACAGGCTCTTTATTTTTTTGAATTTGCTTGCTGTAAAATTTTTTTATAGGGGTTTTTCTCAAAAACTCTACTTTTAAAAAGGTTTTTCCTTTCATGTTGAAAAATTAATGTTATATTAGGTTGTGGTGTGGAACCCTTTAAGTACATAAAAAAACGAAATTTTGAGAGGAATTGTATTATACTTTTTTCCTAGGAAATTCTTCCTTTCATGAGGTGTTTTCCTGGGGTTGGCAAAAACTCACATTTTGTCATTTGCTTATATTTCCAGGTATCTCAGATTCAGAACAATGTCATCATGTGTATTTTAAATGGACAAGATTTTAAAGGATATAAAAATTAAATTTTAAAGAAAAACCTTCAGATTCTATAGGCTCATCTTATTTACAGCAACTTTGATTTTGTCAAATTTAGAACTAAAATACAGTTCAGATGACAAAGATAGAGTTTTTGAGCCCTTCAACATCGACTTCAACTATCAGATTCTATGGTTTTATCATACTTTCTCTGAGCCACAAATCCAGAAAAAGATTTGGGAAGAAGCTTCAGTGGTTCAAATCTTGAAGCCAAATTTTGAATTTCTCAATTTCAGAGCAGGAATGTTGGTGTAGTGAAGTGGTTTTTTTTCTCTTCACTACTCTCATATTTCCAAGGGGCAAACCACCTAGGAATTCTTTGCCAAAAATGTGAGGAATTTAGAGGAATGTGGGGAATTTAGAGGAATTTGAAGGAACTCATTAGAAATTATGAGAATTTGGGGAATTTATAGGGAATTCAGAGAAATTACTGGGGAATTTGGAGGAATTTGTGAGGAATTTAAAAGAAATTGTAGTCATGATGTCACTGAGGTTCACATTCTCATTATAAGAAACACTAATAATAAATGGCAATTTTAATTAGTTTTGTGTTGAACGTTGGACATTCATTTTCATTAAAGAAATTCTTCCAAAATTACACTTCATGATTTACAGGTCCAAATTTAAAAAAATTCAAAACAATAATGAGTAAGTACAGTTTTTGTAGGCTAATTTCCAAGATTCTTCATGTTGTTATTTTCCACTGGAAAAATTTGAAATCCAGAAAACTTTGAAATATGTGAGACGATATTTTCAACTAATTCAGTTTTTGTGAGTTGATTTCCAAGATTCTTCATGTTATTTTCCGCTGAAAAAATTTGAAATTTTGGGAAAATGAGCTTCTCACCTTCCTCTCCACATGCAAAAAGTTTCAAATTTCTCCATTCACTAGTTTTCCCGGAAAAATTTGAAATGTATGAGACGGTATTTTCAACTAAATCAGTTTTTGTTAAGTTGATTCCCAAGATTCCTCATGTTGTTATTTTCCAGTGGAAAAATTTGAAATTTTGGGAAAATGAGCTTCTCCGCTTTCTCTTTAGATGCGAAAAATTTCAAAATTTTCCCTTCACTAATTTTCCAGGAAAACTTTGAAATGTGTGAGACTGTATTTTCAATTATATAATCCAGTTATTGTAGGTTGATTTCCAATATTCTTCATGTTGTTATTTGTTATTTTCTACTGGAAAAATTTGAAATTTTTGGAAATTAAGCTTCTAACTTTTCTACTCTTCACATGCGAAAAGTTTCAAATTTTTGCCTTCATTAGTTTTCCAGGAAAACTTTGAATTGTGTGAAGCTGTATTAACAATTATTTTAGTTTTTGTAGGTAAGTTGATTTTCAAGATTTTTATGTTGTTATTTTTTACTAGAAAAATTAAAAATTTTGGGAAAATGAGCATCTCACCTTCCTCTTCATATGCAAAAAGTTTCAAAATTTTCTCTCCACTAGTTTTTCAGGGAAAACTTTGAAATTTGTGAGACTGTATTTTCAACTAATTCAGTTTGTGTAGGTTGATTTCTAAGATTCTTTATGTTGCTGTTTTCCAATGGAACATTTTTAAATTTTTTTGAAAATGAGCTTTCCACCTTCTTCTTTACATACAAAAAGTTTCAAAATTTTCCCTTAATTAGTTTTCCAGGAAAACTTTGAATTGTGTGAGACTGTATTAACAATTATTTCAATTTTTGTGAGTTTATTTCTATAATTTTTGATGTTGTTACTTTCCAATGAAAAAATATGAAATTATGATGGGAAAATGAGCCTCTAGCCGAGCCTCTAACCTTCCTTTTCACATGCAAATTTTTTTAAAAATTTTCTGTTCACTAAGTAACTTTTTAGAAAAACTTTGAAATGTGTGAGATAGTAGGTATTTTCAACTAATTCAGTTTTTGTAGGTTGATTTCCAAGATTCTTCATGTTGTTATTTTCTACTGGAAAATTTTAAAATTTTGGGAAACTGAGCTTCCCCCCTTCCTCTTTACATGTAGAGTGTTTCAAAATTTTTCCTTCGCACGTTTTTTAAGAAATATTTGAATTGAGATTTGATTTGTGTAAGACAGTATTTTTGATTAATTCAGTTATTGTAGGTTGATTTCCAAAATTTTTCATGCTGTTATTTTCCACTGAAAAAATTTAAAATTTTGGGAAAATGAGCTTCTTACCTCCCTCTTTACATGCAAAAAGTTTCAAAATTTTCCCTTAATTAGTTTTCTAGGAAAACTTTGAATTGTGTGAGACTGTCTCGGAGACTGTATTAACAATTTTTTCCATTTTTGTGAGTTGATTTCTATGATTTTCCATGTTGTTACTTTCCAATGGAAAAATTTGAAATTATGGGAAAATGAGCCTCTAACCCTCGCTCTAACCTTCCTCTTCACATGCAAAAACTTTCAAAATCATTCCTTTTAGTAGTTTTTGAGGAAAATTTTGAAATGTGTGAGATAGTATTTTCAACTAATACAGTTTTTGTAGGTTGATTTCCAAGATTCTTCATGTTGTTATTTTCCACTGGAAAAATTTGAAATTTCGGGAAAATGAGCTCCTCTCTTTCCTCTTTACATACAAAAAGTTTCAAAATTTTCCCTTCACTAGTTTTCCAGGAAAACTTTGAATTGTGTGAGACAGTATTTTTCGAGGTATTTTTAATTAATTCAGTTATTGTAGGTTGATTACCAAAATTCTTCATGTTATTTTCCACTGGAAAAATTTGAAATTTTAGGAAAATGAGCTTCTCCCCTTCCTTTTCACATGCGAGAAGTTTCAGAATTTTTCCTCCACTTGTATTCCAAGAAAACTTTGAAATATGTGAGACTGAGTATGGGACAGTATTTTTAATTAATTCAGTTAGGTATTGTAGGTTGATTTCCAATAAGTATTCCTCATGCTGTTATTTTCTTGTGAAAAAATTTGGGATTACTTTTTTATACTTCAATTTGTGGAAATTTTGAGGAATTTGCAGGGAATTTAGAGAAATTTGTGGGGTATTTGGAGAAATTTGTGGTGGGGTATTTGGAGGAATTTGTGATGGGGTATCTGGAGTGCAACTGACACCTCCAACACACACATACATCTGGAGGAATTTGTGGGGAATTTGGAAGAATTTGCAGGAATGTTGAGGCATTATGCGTAAAAAATTCCCTCTCGAGGAATTGTTTGCACAAATTCTGGGATGGTGGTTTACCCCTTGCATATTTCCTTCTTATTTTTGCCTATTTGAGACCAATAAACATTCAAAACAAGTTCAAGAGCATGGAATTCAGTTTTCTTTGAATTTATTTTCAGATTCAGTGATTTGCCTTGCATTTCCAGATATCTTAGATTCAAAGCAAAGTCATGTGTATTTTAAATGGACAAGATTTTGATCATTCTAGAAATGAAATCTTCTAAGAAATTGTTTTAGATTTTATAGGCTCATCTTATTTACAACTATTTGAATTTTTTGTCAAATTTAGAGCTGAAATACAGCTTAGATGACAAACATGGAGTGTTTATTGTGTGTATTTTTTGGAGCCTTTGCTTTAGAGAAAGATTTGAGAGGAAGCTTCACTGGATCATAACTTCTGAATTCCTCAGAACAAGAATGTTGGTGTAGTGGAGTACTTTGATTTTTCACTAAATTCTGAATATTTAAATTAAATTCGAGAGCTTGAAATAGGATTCAGCTTATTATTGGTACCTCGATTGGTACCCTGTAAAGTTCTTCACATACATATAAGTTTTTCTCACAAACAAACTTTTGGAGATTTTTTTCTTTTCTTATAAATAAGGTACCAGGTAGGTACTTTCAACCAAACTAATATTTAATTGTGGTTATTGTTTAGCTACACCGAGAGCTACACTTTCGACTAAGTACCTATGTCATTTTTTAAATTATTTTTCTTCCTGGAAATACATAGATACATCAAATATCTAGATGTTGTACCTACTGGGTTGCAGCTACTGTGCTTGCTATATAATGTCACTTTTTGGCTGGATTTTTTTTTGAAATCTGATGTTGGGATTTCTTCAAAGGAAAAACTAATATGGTGCCACTCTTCAGCTACATACATTTACATTATGCTTTTGTATTGGTTTTGATTTTTTTTTGCCGTGAAACTATCTTTCAAGTGATTTTATCTTTGAGTTTCATTTTTTGATTTGAAATGATCAGTGATGCCATACATTTTCAAGTCAGACATAGAAAATGAGAGGTAGGTACCTAAATACTTCTTATAATTTCAACTTGAATTTCAATAAAAGATCAAAATAAGTAATATGAACAAATAAATTTTGGATAATTTTGCTTTAGCTCCAAAGTTAGTTGTTTTGAATTGATGAAATTAAAAGTTGAGTTTTGGGATACTTCTTGACACCTTGAAGTAAAAAAGGGGAAAATCTCTATAAAGCAAACATTTTCAAGACATTGTTTAGCTTAGTTCAAAGTTAATAGAGAGGATAATTTCAAAAGCCAATAAAATATGTAAGTAACTAAACTGATAAGTTCTGGATAATTTTGTGTTAGGTCCAAAGATACAGTAGTTGTTTTGAATTGATGAAAGTAAAAGTAGACTCTCTTGGGAATTTGGGATACCTACTTTTTGACACCAAGGAAAATCTTTACAAAGCCAACATTTTCAAGATATTGTAGAGGACAAGGTAGAAGGCAGAAGGAGTAAAGTTACTGAGTTGCAGGGATAGTAAAAATTTCAATTTGCTTCAACAAAAACATTGAGTAGCAAGAATTGGAAAAGTGGTATATCATTTCATTCATTATATTTTTTAAGACAATTGAGCAGGGGACAAAAATGTAAGTGAATATCAAAATATATCCAGGATAATTTGTAAAGTGTTTTGTGGAGCAAGTGAAATGGCTAGTAAGTAATAAAAACATTACTATATATTATAACAAAGAAACAGGTGTTAAGATTAATGTATCCAACAATAAGGAATGTTTAGGAAAGTGAAACAGCAACAAATTGTTGATTTGTACAAATTCAGCCATGATCTTAGGTGAAAATAACAAAGAAACTGTCAGATAGCAGAATTTCAGGATAATGTAAATTCTAGGTTAATAAGAGAAAAGATTATTATGGAAGCCTCAAAAATATGAAATAAAAGTAGTTTTAACTAATAAAAACAGCTGTTTGTAGGGAAAAAAAAATTGTTATGTGAAATGTTTTTATTATCAAACTACAGACTAGAAACGCCTCTCCCGCCTTCATAGGACATGCTGGAGGCAAAGGCAAAATATAAATACACAAAAAAAGTGGCAACAAATACTTACCGGAGGAGTCCGAGGGACCAGGAAAGTGGTCCAATTTTTGCCTTTTGGCATTGGGGGGCCCATCCACTAGATGATCGGCCATATCGGTCGGGATATAATAATCGAGGCTCTCGATTTTAACAAGCCAAAGCTCTGGCCTGACCAATACAAATGCGATCGGAGCCGCGTTATTTCGGATACAAATAGAAAAACATTGTTTTTCCGAAGGAAATCAGCATAAATCGCTTCATATACCGAGTGTTCGATGGTCGATACATTTCCGAAGGCACAAAATAATCAAAACTTAAAGTCAACCATCGGCCATTATGAACTTCGACTAGTCCGGCCTGTCGACTACACTGTGCGACAGCCTACAACCATCTTCCGTCAGAATCAGAGGAACAATTTTTGACGAGCGATTTTACCTATCTTAAGTAAAGTTTTTTCGAAAACTATTGTCAAATTATTGCACAACATACACTTGGGACACTATTTTATACCGAAAAAGTCGCTTTTAATAGCGCACAACGATAAAAGGATACAAATTTGTGTAATTCCGACGCGACCTCAAACAGGCAACATGGCGGCTCTTTGATGGAACTTTTTCTACGCCTGTCAGAAATTTCTGTCTTACTAAAATTCAGCCGAGTTCTTATTGGATTAAACTATTCACGTGACCGGGCCTTGTGCTCTCATTGGTCCCATTATCCCGGAAGGATCTCTGTGACGTTTCTCTTCGTCTTTAGTGACGTGATGACCCGAACTTCGCCGAACGTCAAATTATTATTTTTCATATTTTTGTTTTATAAAATCAAATACACCAACTAATAATAAATTGGAATATCGACAAAGCATGAGAATTGTTTCAATTTCGTTTTTCAAAATATGCAGAAAGCTTAAACATCAATAAAAACTCAACACGATTGTGTCGCCATCTAGTAACAGACCATTGAAGTAGTTTTTTAGAGGTCAAACTTGGATTTCCTCTTTGTTTGATATTGGGATTTATTATACGGATATGAAATCTAGTATTTTTTTACAGCTCAACGCATAGAGCTTTCTTCTATTTTCATAAAAATCCCACATACCTATATTTGGCTTTAAAAATATTTGATTTGAGCAGTTTTGTATATAGAACATTTAAATCATCTTCCAGAAAATCTTCAACTTTAGTTAATTTCCTTTAAAACTTGACTCCAGATCTTTTTATTTTCTTCAAAAGTTGCAAAATCAAAATTAGATATAAGTACCTAATGAAAATACCTTAGAAAAGCTGTCTTGGGAGTTTCCTCCTCCGGTGATTTTTAATGGATTCATTTCCAGTCCCACTGTTCAGCACCATTTCTCAGTTGATTTGAGTCCAGTTCGTAAAAGTTCACACAGGGTGCCCTCCCCTCGAACTTTCCTCTTGCTATATGATGACAATATGTAATTGGCATAACGAACGCAGGGCAAGAGCAGGCTGTTTATTATTCCTAGTAGTTCATCCACCACTAAACTCCACGTCACGAGTGAGTATACCATACTCCGCCCTGGGACTCATTTCCTATCAGCGCCGGTTTAACCATTAGGCGGCCGTCTAGGGCCCGGGCGCTCAATGAGGCCCGAAATTCACTCTGAAATCAAATATCTTATTTTGGCAACCTTGCGCCTTGAGACGCACCACACCACGAATTACGCACACTATCGGCAGAACTGTTCTGTAGCTGTGGGAGTCCCAACTCAGGTAGAGTCCATCCAACCTTATGTCATGTTGCTGATGAAGATCCGTTAAACGAGTCATAGATAATAGATACGAGATGTTCCACTACCCATACAGCACACAAAGTCTTGAAGACGTCTTTTCTAGGGTCTGTATTACCATTACGATTACGTCTGAACGTCTGAAGACCAAAAAAAGACGCCTAGAAGACGTTGTTTTGAAGGTGTCCATATAAAATGTCGTAAATTCATATCTTTCTCTTCTTCAAGCCTAAAGAGTGAATAATGATTTATGTATTGAAAAGAGATTCAAAAACGTCTTTGAGACATCTCTTTGAAGATTTGAACTCTTCTTGAATAGGTGTCTTTAGAATGTCTTAGTGCTGAAGACATCTTTATAGGCAGATCTCTGGAAAATGTTGGGTTTTGTTACATTACGACGTCTTCGAGGTGTAGGCAAGACGTCTTGAATGTCGTTTATGGACATCTTAGGGACGTCTTTGGGAAAATTTTTCCACAGAATTCGTTTCTCATTTAATTTAGAAGTTACTGGAAACCATTTAAAATGCTACAGAACACTTTAGAACTTTAATAGACCTTTTTGAAAGTTCAAAACATTTCAAATTAAATTCAGAATTTCCAAAAGCATTCTGTGCCCCATTCAATGCCCCAAAACATTCAAACACCGATTTCCAAAAGCATTTTAGAACAACTCAGAAAAATGAAACCCATTTTAGGACGCTCCAAAACACTCAAACTACACTCTGGAATTCCCAGAAACATTTTGAAAAGCGCCAGAATCTTAGGATTCAGATTAAAAATTACAAAACGCCTTTCAGATAGGGTTTCCATACGTCCGGATTTGCCCGGACATGTTTGGGTTTTTAGGGTGTCCGGGGAAGTCCGGTCGGAATTCGGAACAATGTCCGGAAAATTCGGAGATCGTGAAAACACTCATACTCAGTTTACGCACTATTCAAAAGACGTAAAATTTTACTTCACTTTATCTACAAGCGTTTGGTTATTATGACGTTTTTACATAAACATTTTTCTAGTATTTGAGTTATGTCATGAGACTCATAACAGAACAGTGGTGTTGTGAACTAGGTTATAAATTCATAACACAACTAGTGGTGTTATGGACTAGGTTATGAATTCATAACACAACTATTTTTGGTGACTTGACAAATGTAAAGGTAAAATGAAGGTAGATAACGACTAATAAACGAAAATTATTGAAAATACACTCTTAGTTTTCGCTTTGTAGATAAAACGTTGTACATCACACATGCGTTTAAACATGACTACAAAACTTGTGTGATTAGAACGACTCGGTCTACGACCTCTTCGTTCTAATCTTTCACACTCGTTATTGTAATCATGTTCATAAACGCACTTGTAATGTAAATAACTATTACACACTAGTATGTGAAGTAATGAGGAATAAATTAGGCACTAGTGCGTTAAGTATTTGTCTAATGGCCGTTTTTACCGACTATTTTAAGGGAGCTTTAGCGATAAGTATTCCTTTAAGTGACATTTCTCCATGTAAAAAAGTCATTTTAAGGAATACTTATCGCTAAAGGCTTCGTTAAAATGGTCGGTGCAAACAGCCATAAATCTAGTTTTCTACACATATTATATTGGTAGTAGAATTTTTTTTTCCTACAGCCGTGCGGAAAAATCGATTTTCCATACTGTTATGCGTGCGGAAAATGAGTTTTTCCGCACGGCTGTCAGTGCGGACAAAATTTTACCGCACTGATCTGTCAAAAAAAAAAAGAAAAATATTACATTTTTACGCCTGTAGGAAAAATATTGTACCTAACACTTGCGGAAAATATTTTTTCCTACAGCCATGCGGAAAAATCGATTTTCCGCACTGATATGCGTGCGGAAAATGAGTTTTCCCGCACGGTGCGGTAAAACTTTTTTTTTTGACATATCAGTGCGGAAAAAGTTATTCCGCACGGCTGTCAGTGCGGAAAAAATTTTGATATGTCAAAAAAAAAAAAAGAAAAATTTCACATTTTTTCGCCTGTAGGAAAAATATTGTACCTAACACTTGCGGAAAATATTTTTCCGCACTCGGCTGCATCACCGAACTCCGCTACGCGTCGTTCGGTGAACGGCAGCCGCGTGCGGAAAAATTAATTTTCCGCACTTGTTAGGTAAATAGCTATTATGTATGCAAACTTTGTATATGAACCTTTTTTCACGAATGTGAATTTAGTCGCACTCGCCTTTCACTTTACACACTTGTTGCATAAATAGCTCCGTCCGGATTTTGTCCGGATTTCTTGACTCCTTTGTCCTGAATTCTGAAAAACCTTTATGGAAACCCTACTTTCAGAAAGATTTTTAGAGCAAATTTTTTGATTTGATTGCTGTAGAACTTTAGAACTCTTTAAAGGCATTTAAAACAGTTTAAATCTAAATCAGAAATTTCAGGAGCATTTAGGAGCAATTGAGAAACTTCAGAGTTATTTTAGAACAATTTTAAAGTTCTAAATTTAATCCTAATTTAGGACTGGATACCTTTTAGAACTTTTTTGAACCAATTTAGAACTTTTTGGTGCTTCAATTGGGCTCTAAAATACTTCAGAATCTGTCAGAACAATTTAAAAATTACTGAAAAACTTCTAGAATGCTCAGAACTCTTCAATTAATCCAAGTTAGAACACTTTAGAACTGCCAGTGGCGGATCTAGCATGAAGCAAACGACGCACTCTGCGTCGGCCCCCCAGAGCCAAGGGGCCACCACACAACCAGATTCTAAAGGGACCGATAAAAACGAATAAAAAAGAAAAATCGTAGATATAAAAAAAAATCGAAAATTAAATTTTGAAAGAGACGGCAACGTTGTGTACCAGGATGCCTATTCTTGAAACCGGGGAACAGCGTTCTTACGAGAAAGAACGATTGCCCTGTCTTTGTCAGTGCTATGGAAATAGAAATATGGGCAACTAAGACAGAACGCTTATCTCCTGTTTCGACAATAAAAGCCCTGTAGGGAATCCAGGGCTGGAATCATGACAAGTAGAATTTCACTTTCATGACGTCATTCGCGTACAGTACAGGCCCAGTTGCTAGGCAACCTGACGTAATGAACGTCACTATCAGGGCTGCGTTCAGGAATGGCTACAGCCAAGCCAAAATTGGCATTTTGCGTTCAAGTTTGGCTCCAACCTACGTGGTTCGGCATTACCGGTGGAGGGGGAAAAGTAGGTTTTGGCATTAGCATTGCCGTCTTTGAACGCACCCCTGCAGCTTGTAGTGATGACGTCACCCGCAGACCGTGATGGAATGCTTGCGATTCAGGCTGTGCTAGTGAGTTAATTTTTTCGTCGATTTTAAATGTAGAATAGGTGATTTTTCGGTTTGTTCTCACAGAAGCAATTAAGTGTCCTTGATCCTCAAGTATCCCAGAATTTGATGGTGGGGGAGTTAGGGGAGTATGACACATCATACAATTCAGCACAACATTATGCTTGGTTATCCTTGCAAAAAATTGCCTATCGTCTTCCAGACTCAGATAATTTATGGTACTTGTCGGTGGAGTACGAACAGTATCAGTGCAGTGCGGTACTACTATGTTGTATTCCTTTTTGTTTAGATAAAAAGTTCTTGAACTTTTACAATTTTTTATCTTTTTTTCGTTTAACTTGTTTTCTGTCTCATATGTTCTTGTGAAATTTGTTTCTATATTTGGTTGTTAAAAACTTCAAAAATATAAATAACTTCCGCACACTCACCTCACACCCCAACACCACAAGAAAAATACCTAAAAAAAAACATGACGGGGCCCCAAAAAAAAATTTGCGTCGGGCCCCAAAAGTCCTATAGGTCCGCCACTGGAACTGCAAAAACTCAAAAAGCCATTTAACGT